AAGAAGAATACAAATATACTGAATAAAAATATGCATATGTATGCAGGTAACAGAAAATGGAACCGACAGAGAGGGCTGCCTTGCTTTTAGCTCTTAGGAAACTTTGGACTGTGGGCTCTTCTTCTCTGTGGCCAACGTGAGTAAGACATTTAAGCGTGTTAACCCTCGCAAGGCTGCCGGCCCAGATGGCATCCCTAGCCGCATCCTCAGAGCATGTGCAGACCAGCTGGCTGGTGTGTTTACGGACATAATAATCTCTCCCTATCCCAGTCTGCTGTCCCCACATGCTTCAAGATGGCCACCATTGTTCCTGTACCCAAGAAAGCAAAGGTAACTGAACTAAATGACTATCGCCCTGTAGCACTCACTTCTGTCATCATGAAGTGCTTTGAGAGACTAGTCAAGGATCATATCACCTCTACCTTATGTGCCACCCTAGACCCACTTCAATTTGCTTACTGCCCCAATAGATCCACAGATGATGCAATCACCAACACACTGCCCTATCCCATCTGGACAAGAGGAATACCTACAGTGGGGAGAACAAGTATTTAATACACTGCCGATTTTGCAGGTTTTCCTACTTACAAAGCATGTAGAGGTCTGTAATTTTTATCATAGGTACCTTTCAACTGTGAGAGACGGAATCTAAAACAAAAATCCAGAAAATCACATTGTATGATTTTTAAGTAATTAATTTGCATTTTATTGCATGACATAAGTATTTGATACATCAGAAAAGCAGAACTTAATATTTGGTACAGAAACCTTTGTTTGCAATTACAGAGATCATACGTTTCCTGTAGGTCTTGACCAGGTTTGCACACACTGCAGCAGGGATTTTGGTCCACTCCTCCATAGAGATCCTTCAGGTTTCGGGGCTGTCGCTGGGCAATACGGACTTTCAGCTCCCTCCAAAGATTTTCTATTGGGTTCAGGTCTGGAGACTGGCTAGGCCACTCCAGGACCTTGAGATGCTTCTTACGGAGCCACTCCTTAGTTGCCCTGGCTGTGTGTTTCGGGTCGTTGTCATGCTGGAAGACCCAGCCACGACCCATCTTCAATGCTCTTACTGAGGGAAGGAGGTTGTTGGCCAAGATCTCGCGATACATGGCCCCATCCATCCTCCCCTCAATACGGTGCAGTCATCCTGTCCCCTTTGCAGAAAAGCATCCCCAAAGAATGATGTGTCCACCTCCATGCTTCACGGTTGGGATGGTGTTCTTGGGGTTGTACTCATCCTTTTTCTTCCTCCAAACACGGCGAGTGGAGTTTAGACCAAAAAGCTCTATTTTTGTCTCATCAGACCACATGACCTTCTCCCATTCCTCCTCTGGATCATCCAGATGGTCATTGGCAAACTTCAGACGGGCCTGGACATGCGCTGGCTTGAGCAGGGGGACATTGCGTGCGCTGCAGGATTTTAATCCATGACGGCGTAGTGTGTTACTAATGGTTTTCTTTGAGACTGTGGTCCCAGCTCTCTTCAGGTCATTGACAGGTCGTGCCGTGTAGTTCTGGGCTGATCCCTCACCTTCCTCATGATCATTGATGCCCCACGAGGTGAGATCTTGCATGGAGCCCCAGACCGAGGGTGATTGACCATCATCTTGAACTTCTTCAATTTTCTAACAATTGCGCCAACAGTTGTTGCCTTCTCACCAAGCTGCTTGCCTATTGTCCTGTAGCCCATCCCAGCCTTGTGCAGGTCTACAATTTTATCCCTGATGTCCTTACACAGCTCTCTGGTCTTGGCCATTGTGGAGAGGTTGGAGTCTGTTTGATTGAGTGTGTGGACAGGTGCATTTTATACAGGTAACGAGTTCAAACAGGTGCAGTTAATACAGATAATGAGTGGAGAACAGGAGGGCTTCTTAAAGAAAAACTAACAGGTCTGTGAGAGCCGGAATTCTTACTGGTTGGTAGGTGATCAAATACTTATGTCATGCAATAAAATGCAAATTAATTACTTTAAAATCATACAATGTGATTTTCTGGATTTTTGTTTTAGATTCCGTCTCTCACAGTTGAAGTATACTTATGATAAAAATTACAGACCTCTACATGCTTTGTAAGTAGGAAAACCTGCAAAATCGGCAGTGTATCAAATACTTGTTCTCCCCACTGTATGTAAGAATGCTGTTCATTGACTATAGCTCAGCATTCAACACCATAGTACCCTCCAAGCTCATCATTAAGCTCGAGGCCCTGGGTCTGAACCCCGCCCTGTGCAACTGGGTCCTGGACTTCCTGACGGGCCGCTCCCCAGGTGGTGAAGGTAGGAAACAACACCTCCACTTCGCTGATCCTCAACACGAAGGTGCACGCTCAGCCCCCTCCTGTACTCCCTGTTTACCCATGACTGTGTGGCCAAGCACGCCTCCAACTCAATCATCAGACAACACAACAGTAGAAGGCTTGATTACCAACAATGACGAGACAGCCTACAGGGAGGAGGTGAGGGCTCTGGGAGTGTGGTGCCAGGAAAATAACCTCTCACTCAACGTCAACAAAACAAAGGAGATGATCGTGGACTTCAGGAAACAGCAAAGGGAGCACCCCCCTATCCACATCGACGGGACCGCAGTGCAGAAGGTGGAACGCTTCAAGTTCCTCGGCGTACACATCACTGACAAACTGAAATGGTCCACCCACACAGACAGTGTGGTGAAGAAGGGGCAACAGCGCCTCTTCAACCTCAGGAGGCTGAAGAAAGTTGGCTTGGCACCTAAAACCCTCAAACTTTTACAGATGCACAATTGAGAGCATCCCGTCGGGCTGTATCACCGCCTGCAACCGCAGGGCTCTCCAGAGGGTGGTGCGGTCTGCCCAATGCATCACCGGGGGCAAACTACCCGCCCTCCAGGACACCTACAGCACCCGATGTCACAGGAAGGCCAAAAAGATAATCAAGGACAACAACCACCCGAGCCACTGCCTGTTCACCCCGCTATCATCCAGAAGGCGAGGTCAGTACAGGTGCATCAAAGCTGGGACCGAGAGACTGAAAAACAGCTTCTATCTTAAGGCCATCAGAGTGTTAAATAGCCTTCACTAGCACATTAGAGGCTGCTGCCTATATACATAGATTAGAAATCACTGGCCACTTTAATGTTTTCATATCTTGCATTACTCATCTCATATGTATATACTATATTCTATACTATTCAACTGTATCTTAGTCTATGCCGATCTGACATTGCTCGTCTATATATTCATTTATATATTCTTAATTCCATTGCTTTACTTAGAATGTGTTTATTGGGTATATGTTGTGAAATTGTTAGATTTACTTGTTAGATATACTGCACTGTCGGAGCTAGAAACACAAGCATTTCGCTACACCCGCAATAACATCTGCTAAACACGTGTATGTGACCAATACAATTTGATTTGATTTGATTTGAACAAGGCACTAAAGTAATACTGTAGAAAAACACGGCAAAGGAATACACTTTTTGGCCTAAATGCAAAGCCTTATGTTTGGGGCAAATCCAACACAACACATCACTGGGTAACTGGCTCCTTACTTTCATCATGATATGGGTGTGCTTGACATCGGCAAAGACTGGGGAGTATTTCAGGATGAAAATAAACGGGATGAAGCTAAGCACAGGCAAAATCCTAGAGGAAAACCTGCTTCAGTCTACTTTACACCAGACACTTGGAGAGGAATTCACCTTTCAGCTGGACAATAACCTACAACACAAAGCCAAATCTACACTGGAGTTGCTTACCAAGAAGACCGTTAAAGTTTGAGTGGTTTTGATTGTAATCTGCTTGAAAATCGATGGCAAGACTTGAAAATTGCTGTCTAGCCATGATCCCCAAACACCTTGACAGAGCTTGAAGAATTTTGAAAAGAATAATGGGCGAATATTGCACAATACAGGTGTGCAAAGCTCTTATTATACTTACCCAAGAAGACTCACAGCTGTAATCGCTGGGAAAAGGTGTTTCTAACATGTTTTGTCTCAGGGGGTGAATACTTATCTAATCAAGATATATTAGTGATTTATTTTCCATTCATCTTAAAAGAGAAAAAAAAATCTTCCACTTTGACATATTTTGTTTAGATCGTTGACGAAAAAAACAATTAAATTGCACTTTGTAACATAATAAAATGTGAAGAAATCCAAGGGTGGTGTAGACTTTCTATAGGCACTGTAGGTGTACCACAACTCATTCCAGTGATAAGATCTCTGTTTCTCACTATGTTGGTCTGTCTGTCTATTTGACCCTTGAGTTTCAAAGGTTTGAATACACATGGTCCTCCCCACAGAATTGAACACTATATTTCATATCTATGGTCCTCCCTATATCCTTTCCTCTGTTTTGCTATTTGAACCAACTGAGGAAAACTAATGAACATCAGAAAAGCTGTGTTCCTCAGGTATCTATGACTTCAGACAAACATACAAACAGACAGACAGCTAGACAGACAGACAGACGGACATACGGACAGCGTGGGCAGCCAGCTAGCCATGCCTTTGTTTGAATTCAGATCGTTGTGTTTCATTGCTCTGACTCAGACTGATCATGCCTGATCTATCCTGGCTAGGCCCTCTTCCTCCACCATCGCCCGCCAACTCTTGTCTGTCAATGCAATCTATTACTTCATGATGACTTTGAAAATGATATCGCCCACCAGAGAAATCTGATTTAATCAACATATTTCTGGAATTGACATGATCTTTCATCATCATCCATTGTTACTCACGCTCTGTTTAAAGAGTTTATTATAACTCATGCAATTCAACTGGGTTAGCATACACGTTGAACACCACATGTTGTCTGAACATTCTTCCGAATATTTGACAACTATAACATACCTCTAGCTGCATGTAGGTTGGCAAATATTTATTAGGCACACATACACTGATCATGATATGGGCTGTCTGTTTGTTTGAGATATGTCTTGTGTTTTTTTTACCCTGAAGGAGAAGGCCTAGAGATACTGTTCCATTTGCTTATACAGTACTTGCTAAGAATGAACTGACCTCGATAATGTAGTCGTTACCATCTTTTCCGTGGACGGCTTTCACAGCACAGATATCAAGGCCCCCAAACATCTCGGCACAGGAGTCCACCCACAGACGATATCTGGAACACAGTGACATCCACAACTGATAAGTCATTGTCAATTACAAAACAGACTTTTGCAGTGAAAAACAACTTTTGGTAACACTTTACTTAAAGCCTACAGGTATAATGCTATATAAAAAAACACAATAATAAATAAAAAAAATCTATAAGCTTTCATAATTTCTTATAATAAGGATTATATGTTATGTCTAACAAAGTGTCTATATGCCAGCTTACCTGTCTGTCATAGCGATCTGTTCCAACATGGCTGAGCCTGTGTTAGCCTTCCAGTTGCCTGAGATGGACGTCCTCCTAGAAAAGGTGAAATCAAATCAAAGAGAAAATCAAGGAAATGAATCAGGCATTCAGCTATTCTCTGGACCAGAATGGAAAGCAATGGTCAGCTAGCTTAGTCATTGTGTTTATTTTTGTAGTTCAACAGAAGACCCTGGGGGGAAATGTTATAGTTGAATTCTACATTGATGATGATTGCAATGTACGCCGAGGAAATAACTTGAGATAAGGAAGTAAATTCCACTCCTCTTAGTCAAGCAATAATTGTTTGAATTGAGAGACATGAAAGTAGAAAGGGCGTAGATTCACACTTTCATTGTTACTGTACATGGTGCTTTAAATTGTATTCAAGAGGGTGCTGTTGAGCATTTGAAATTGAAGTGGCTGGTTACTCAGAGAAGATAATATCAGTTCAAGCTGAGATTGAGCCTATAAGGCTGAAGTTGCCCAGTGGTCACAGTCACGTTGGCTGATGCTGTCACTTCCCTCTGGGAGAGAGAATGGAATGCCAGTGCAGGGTGCAACCCTGGTCGTTGTCCCAGGGTAGAGAAGGAAAAGGAAGTGCTGTGGTGTGGGTGAGCCCTGCACGGCTCCACTGACTGGGAAGAGTGTACCATGGGCCTCTTCCCACACTCACATTGGTATAAAAGCTGGACTATTCTAAGGTCTGTCTCTGTCTCTCTATCCATCTCTCTCTTTCTCTCAGTCTCTTTTTGTTTCCCTTCATCTGTCTCTGTTTCCATGTCTATCTCTCCCCCTCTCTGGTAAAGTCATTCACATGCAAGCCATATAGTTTCATTCTAGTCACATTCACTCCTGACATGTCCAAGTCACAGACAAAACCCAGTGTACACTGCATAGAGACTACATCATACTTACATGTAGGCCTTGTAGTTGTTGCCAATTTTCTGGATCCTGATGTCGTACTTGGACAGGACGTAGGGCTCAGAGGTGGCATATGTTCTGGCCAACGCCACCACACTGGTAATATCCTGGAAGTCAAGTTCGTTCTCCACTTTGATCTGAAACAGGAAGATGCCACTAATTAGTTAATCGGCAGGAAGATATGCCTAATTGGTGCTTTGTGATGGTTAATTACCAAACATGCTATAAAAGCAATGAGACAGGAGCTGAAGTAGACTGTTAGAATCCCACAGGAATGTAAATCCAACAGACAGGATAATGAAAAGCTTACTCTCTGGAAAATGTTAGGATTTTAGGAGCTGCACGTTTCGCACACCCATGAGACCATCAGCTACACAGTGACTTCATATACAGACATTACAGTAATAATTGATTGCATTTACAGCGCATTCGGAAAGTATTCAAACCCCTTGACTTTTTCCACATTTTGTACGTTAGAGCCTTATTCTAAAATGGATTATTTAAAAAAAATCCTTCAATCTACACACAATACCCCATTATGACAAAGCAAAAACAGGTTTTTAAAATATCACATTTACATAAGTATTCAGACCCTTTACTCAGTACTTTGTTGAAGCACCTTTGGCAGCGATTACAGCCTTGAGTCTTCTTGGGTATGATGCTACAAGCATGGCACACCTATATTTGGGGAGTTTCTCCCATTCCTCTCTGCAGATCCTCTCAAGCTCTGTCAGGTTGGATGGGGAGCATTGCTGCACAGCTATTTTCAGGTTTCTCCAGAGATGTTTGATTGGGTTCAAGTCCGGGCTCTGGTTGGGCCACTCAAGGACATTCAGAGACTTGTCCCGAAGCCACTCCTGCGTTGTCTTGGCTGTGCTTAGGTTCACTGTCCTGTTGGAAGGTGAACCTCTCTGTACCTTGCTCCGTTCATCTTTGCCTCGATCCTGACTAGTCTCCCTGTCCATGCCGCTGAAAAACATCCCCACAGCATGATGCTGCCACCACCAAGCTTCACCTTACGGATGGTGCCAGGTTTCCTCCAGACGTGACGCTTGGCATTCAGGCCAAAGAGTTCAATTTTGGTTTCATCAGACCAGAGAATCTTGTTTCTCATGGTCTGAGAGTCTTTAGGTGCCTTTTGGTAAACTCCAAGCGGGCTGTCATGTGCCTTTTACTGAGGAGTGGCTTCCGTCTGACCACTCTACCATAAAGGCCTAATAGGTAGAGTGCTGCAGAGATGGATGTCCTTCTGGAAGGTTCTCCCATCTCCACAGAGGAACTCTGGAGCTCTGTCAGCTTGACCATCGGGTTCTTGGTCACCTCCCTGACCAAGGCCCTTCTCCCCCGATTGCTCAGTTTGGCCTGGCGGCCAGCCCTAGGAAGAGTTTGGGTGGTTCCAAACTTCTTCCATTTAAGAATGATGGAGGCCACTTTGTTGTTGGGGACCTTCAATGCTGCAGACATTTTTTGGTACCCTTCCCCAGATCTGTGCCTCGACACAATCCTGTCTCGGAGCTCCACGGATAATTCCTTCGACCTCATGGCTTGGTTTTTGCTCTGACATGCACTGTCAACTGTGGGACCTTATATAGACAGGTGTGTGCCTTTACAAATCATGTCCAGTCAACTGAATTTACCACAGGTGGACTCCAATCAAGTTGTAGAAACATCTCAAGGATGATCAATAGAAACAGGATGCACCTGAGCTCAAATTCGAGTCTCATAGCAAATGGTCTGAATACTTATGTAAATAAGGTATTTCAGTTTTTTATCGTTCATAAATTTGCAAAAATTTCTAAAAACCTGTTTTCGCTTTGTCATTATGGGGTATTGTGCATAGATTGAGGACTTTTTTATTTAATCCATTTTAGAATAAGGCTGTAACGTAACAAAATGTAAAAGTCAAGGGGTCTGAATACTTTCTGAATGCACTGTATATAGCGCGTTTCCACTTACAGTAGGTGCTCAAAAGCGCTTTACATAGTAAGGGAGTAAACTCTCCTCTTCCACCACTAATATGCTAGACAACATTTTGATGGAAATAACAAACAGTAGCTAAATTCAAATCGATCCACAACTTATCCAAAGAGAACAAACTGTAAAATTCTGTAGATTCCTTTTTCATACAGTACAGTAAATGCTAATCTACAGTATATTTTGTCTTTATAATGTAAACAGGATTAAATATAATAACTGACAGGCACACTAAACCTAAGACACCCAATTACCAACCAGATCTGTCTGTATTGATAGCTGTTGAAAGAGGGAAACTCTCTTAGACCATGGGAAAAGGGGTAAAGGAGTAGAAGACAGATATAAATCAACAGCCTGTAATGTATAGCTATCTGAATATATATCATCCATATGATGTATGATGATAGCAGCCAGAGTCCTGGACATTCCCTTCATATTCCCTCCATTGACTCTCATTATCATCCCTCTGGCTGTTATCGTTGGCACTATGATTCATTCACCATGCGGTGGGAGTCGGTGGGAACAGTGAGGGGCTGTCGTGGACAGGGACGGACTGGACTGATGCTCTCACTTTCCCACCCACACTCCTCTCGCCTTTCAGCTCATCTCTTCTCTCCAGTGGCCCAATTCACAAGTGAGATGGAGCGGTCTACTATGGTAAAGTTATAGGGGAGGGCTTGAGTTGGCCCACTTTTTGGATCAGGCATTTCTTTCTCTGTCATAACTACTCTAAGATTCTTACTTAGCATCTTGAGTATGTTTGACATAGAGGTGGAGGTAGCTAGACAAGGGGGAAATGGTTTTCCTCTGTTCATACAGTGGGGGAAAAAAGTATTTAGTCAGCCACCAATTGTGCAAGTTCTCCCACTTAAAAAGATGAGAGAGGCCTGTAATTTTCATCATAGGTACACGTCAACTATGACTGACAAATTGGGGAAAGAAAATCCAGAAAATCACATTGTAGGATTTTTTATGAATTTATTTGCAAATTATGGTGGAAAATAAGTATTTGGTCACCTACAAACAAGCAAGATTTCTGGCTCTCACAGACCTGTAACTTCTTCTTTAAGAGGCTCCTCTGTCCTCCACTCGTTACCTGTATTAATGGCACCTGTTTGAACTTGTTATCAGTATAAAAGACACCTGTCCACAACCTCAAACAGTCACACTCCAAACTCCACTATGGCCAAGACCAAAGAGCTGTCAAAGGACACCAGAAACAAAATTGTAGACCTGCACCAGGCTGGGAAGACTGAATCTGCAATAGGTAAGCAGCTTGGTTTGAAGAAATCAACTGTGGGAGCAATTATTAGGAAATGGAAGACATACAAGACCACTGATAATCTCCCTCGATCTGGTGCTCCACGCAAGATCTCACCCCGTGGGGTCAAAATGATCACAAGAACGGTGAGCAAAAATCCCAGAACCACACGGGGGGACCTAGTGAATGACCTACAGAGAGCTGGGACCAAAGTAACAAAGCCTACCATCAGTAACACACTACGCCGCCAGGGACTCAAATCCTGCAGTGCCAGATGTGTCTCCCTGCTTAAGCCAGTACATGTCCAGGCCCGTCTGAAGTTTGCTAGAGTGCATTTGGATGATCCAGAAGAGGATTGGGAGAATGTCATATGGTCAGATGTAACCAAAATATAACTTTTTGGTAAAAACTCAACTCGTCGTGTTTGGAGGACAAAGAATGCTGAGTTGCATCCAAAGAACACCATACCTACTGTGAAGCATGGGGGTGGAAACATCATGCTTTGGGGCTGTTTTTCTGCAAAGGGACCAGGACAACTGATCCGTGTAAAGGAAAGAATGAATGGGGCCATGTATCGTGAGATTTTGAGTGAAAACCTCCTTCCATCAGCAAGGGCATTGAAGATGAAACGTGGCTGGGTCTTTCAGCATGACACTGATCCCAAACACACCGCCCGGGCAACGAAGGAGTGGCTTCGTAAGAAGCATTTCAAGGTCCTGGAGTGGCCTAGCCAGTCTCCAGATCTCAACCCCATAGAAAATCTTTGGAGGGAGTTGAAAGTCTGTGTTGCCCAGTGACAGCCCCAAAACATCACTGCTCTAGAGGAGATCTGCATAGGAGGAATGGGCCAAAATACCAGCAACAGTGTGTGAAAACCTTGTGAAGACTTACAGAAAACGTTTGACCTGTGTCATTGCCAACAAAGGGTATATAACAAAGTATTGAGAAACTTTTGTTATTGACCAAATACTTATTTTCCACCATAATTTGCTAATAAATTCATTAAAAATCCTACAATGTGATTTTCTGGATTTTTTTTCCTAATTTTGTCTGTCATAGTTGACGTGTACCTATGATGAAAAGTACAGGCCTCACTCATCTTTTTAAGTGGGAGAACTTTCACAATTGGTGGCTGACTAAATACTTTTTTCCCCACTGTATGAGGAAAGTATTTGTGTACTTGGCTACTCACTGTTGTAACCCAATACATCTGGAGAGCCAGAGAAAAAGGAGCCAAACCATGGTGTAAATACGAGAAGCCATGCCGAGAATAAGGTGAACCATTGAGTAAATAAAGTAAACCATAATATTGGAAGCAGAAACCATAAGGTAATTAAGAGGGTATGTACTGGCAGTTAGATCAAGAGGTGCATGAGGTGGAAAGCAATGTGATTCTGGACACTGCCCAGTTTCAATGGTTGAGAAATATTATCCAGTGTCTGCTAAGTCTGTCTACCCTTTAGTGAGCCATTCTCAACTCCCCCAACCAGAATTAACAACTCCATGTGATGGACAGGCTGTATAGGTCTCTTTCTGAGATCTGATTTCATAAAAAAACAACAACAAAATGGATTGACTTTTTTTTACGGTACACACCTTGTCATCCTAAAAGATTTTGCCGTAACATTGCATTTAGGCTACAGATAATAAAGAACTGTTGAAGTGAAAACACTCTGCACTTTATTACATGTAATCTAATAAGGGCATTAGGTTAAGCAAACGTAGTATTAAAACAACTGAAAATCGTAACACTGGCCATAGTCCTAGTCCCAATTCCACAACTCCAGATACATGAATTTTAAGAGTCTCTCAGCTCAACTTAAAAGCCATGTGAAGCACTTGAATGGCCTGGCCTACATCCAGACCCTCTTCTCTCCCCCAGTTCTCAGTCCACTGTGAGGTCAGGGGGGTTAAGTGAGGTCCTGGTCTACAATGGGCCTATGCTAAGTGATCCAGAGGGCATGTGGGAACTCTATAGCACTCCAGGTTCCTGTAAAGGAGGAAACCCAACCCAGCCCTTCAGATGAAAAGGGGGGATAAACTTATAGGAAGTACTTCCCCCTGTGTACTGTGTGAACGCACAGACTCAGCCAGGGAGGTCCTGTATTATATGTGAAGAGGGATCCATTTGGGGCTAGTAATCACTCGCTTTGGTTGGCTGTTCACTGAACTGCATGCTGTTGAAAGTGTGTGTGTGTGTGTGTTTTTTGCTTCCCTGTGTGTTTGCGTGCACCCTGTGGTGGTGCCACTTGCAAATGACCCACTTAGCTAGTTGTTATGCTGCCTGCCCGGTGCCTGGGTGCACCGAGGCGAACAGTCACATGCTTGTTTTAATCCTTGTTGTTATTTACAATGGTCTTATGAGAAAAATTGTATTGGGGTTATGAGGCATGAGACGGCTTCTCTCCAGCGTTTAGAATTTTGTATTTAATAGAGGATGGAATTTTATCAAACATGGACTGTAGAACAAAATGGTGAAACAAAGAAGAGGAAAAAGATAAGGAAAAATTGGATAATAATATAATAATAATAATATGCCATTTAGCAGAACCCACTACCCTGGCGTTACAAGCGCCATGCTCTACCAATTGAGCTACAGAGGACCACAGAGGATATATGCATGTTCAAGCTTTGTCTATCTTTTGCACTGCTGCTTTGCACTGCTGCAGACTCACACTTACAGTAGCATATCCAGGCCTTAATTAGGTAACTAGAAGAGAGGTCTTTAGATCCTGACACTGATCAGCTTGCCGATGCCCATGTCACTCCCAAATCTCCTCCCTAACTCCTTATGAACATGTAAACTCCCTGAAAAAGCCCCTTCCTATCAGACAGGCTGTGAGATCATGGGTTTCGACAAGGACCAGATCCAGCTCAGCTTCACACCCTTCTCCACCTCCTCTCTGAGACTGATGGTCTGCTTATGGAAGGAAAGCATGCCATCATCACTCTGGCAAGCTCACAGATACAAAGAGAAGAGATAAGGAGCCTGGTCTGTTATGTACAGCTCAACTCCTAACTGCACAGTATGTAATAGGTTAGTATAACAAATACAAACAAAGCAAAACATGCAATGGTGGGGTGGAGAGATGAGCAGCCAGGGAGTGCCCAGACCTTAGTGGTGGTGTGTGTGTGTAGGTGGGGGGATCAACGTCGCAGGGAAGCTTACCTTGCCGATGCCGGCATGGGCATGGCCCATCTTGACTACCACGGGGAATGTTGGTGTTGTCACCTGGGAAAGAACAAAGTAGAGTGTTACCACAGTCTGGAAAACCACCGGCAGATGTCCTAATAACAACTAAATGAATGGAGGGTTTCTCTGAAGAGCAACCTTGATATCGTAACGGTAGCGTGTTAGGACTGTGAAGCAGGGAAAGCATTTTAGAGCTACACTGAGGTTCCTATAATGAAAACCAGTATCTATATATACCTAATATGATTGACAAGGGCTCCAATGACTATGACTTGGCTATGATTTAACTGCACAATGCATGAAAGTGACTGACTACTAAAAGGAAAACACAAGTTCCTCCCTAAACTTAATTGTGAGGCATAGCTCAGACCTGACGTATGGTATAGAATCAAAACCTAATTTAAAAGAGAAAGACTTCTCAAAGACCATTATGGAACTACCACATTGAATTTAAAGCCACCCAATTTAGGGAAGCATGAGGTATTTTCTGAATAATGTTGGTTTATTACACAGAAGAGAAGTTCTGGGAAACGAGAAAGGGCGAGACCACAGCTTCTTGGGATGGGTTTAGACAACCCAGCCCCACCGCAGACATCACGGGCTTTCTCATAGTGTGGTGTGCAATGTGAGAGGAGGATGAAACGTCAACAGATTACTTCAAACTTGTTCTTTAAACACATTCTTGCCACTGATCGATCCCCTGATACCATTGTTAGATGGGGAATGTAATCTAAAGAGAGGGCTTATCCAGTTTGAAACCCCTTTCTAAATCTCCTATTTTTTCCCCACTTGTTTGAAATGGCACACGGAGATGAGATATAGACTCACTGGAGAGTTTGCGTCATCGTTCTCTATTTAACAGCCCCCTTTAGTTAGACTAGACAGTATCAAAGCCATTACATCAGTTACATGCATTCTGACACAAATGTATATTACACTAGGCAGACACTAGAGAAACTTGGTCAGTTAACAGTGTTATGGTGGTGGTAATAATATAATATGGCATGTCAAGTTGTGATATGGTATGGTAAAAACTGATAATTTGTCTATAAAGTATTCTTCTGAGGAGTACATTTCCTGAACAACATGAATGGGTTGTGTGTGTAACATCACTTACATTTTTATTGCAGTCGTTGCGGTACAATATAACATAACATCAGCGTTATAAGGTGGGCCTGGGTATAAAAACACAGACTCTTCCTGACACACACTGAGAGAAAACATTTAGATAAGCAGAGAGATGTTCAGTGAGAGCAGAAGGCACACAGCCATGAGCTCAAGCCTGACAGACCTGCTAGGGCAAAGGCAGCTGCTGCTATCGTTTTATCCACCCCTCGTCTGGCTGTCAGTGGACAGGACTGAACAGAACAGAGAAGACCCCCGTCTGGATGTTGTCTTGTTAGTATTTATAGCGCTCTACTCTTCGACAGACGCAAGGTTGTTAGGACATCAGTGCCAACCGTGTTGAGAGATCTTGAAACTACAGCCCCAAGCTGTACTGGCAAGATAACACAATCAAACTTGCATCCATCATAGGCTAAAATCAACTTTAGTTTGTGTGTGAGTTGGAAGTGTAATTGTGAATCTATAATCCACTTTCAAACTCTGTAAGCGATATAATCATGACTACACAATCCATTTACACTAGTGAGTCAACCACTTGAAATCCCTAAAAATAGTACAAAGAGCTTCAGAACCCAGATAATAAGTATCCTCTGTTTAGGTGAAACACATTGGCTCATAGAAAGAGAAATGGACTCCTCAATGGATCTCTCAATACATTATTTAAATTCTGAAGAATAAGCTACATACCGATCAACAGTCACTGACCATTTATGGTAGGTAGCTCCCTTTGTGGTTAGTAGTTCCATCAGTGCCAGAGAAAAGCACATTCACTGAACCGCAGATGCAAGCTGAATCACTTTGTATTCGGTACATGTGAGCTATGCAGCAGGGAGACACCTGATATAACATGTATATGAGAATGACTGAGGATAGTGGTTTCCCTGTGGGGGCCTGTTCTAGGATGACCGAGGAGGTTTTGGGAGGGCAGAGTTGTGGCAGCCAACTCTGTCTGGATGTGTAATCTGCGCATCTCCCAGTCATTCCCATCAATGTGGCGATGACGGGAGACACTGTGTAGGGAAGAGACCACATCCTATCTAGTGAGGTTACACTTGCAGCACGGAACGTCAGAAGGAGGAACAAATAAGTCTGGCCACTAAACCTGGCATAACACCATCTCATGCTGAGACGTGCTCACTGTTTTGTATTGATTCACTGATGGCTGGTTAAGTGTGCCTACACTGTCAACCGCTCATCTTCAGGAGTTACGTAATACTCAGCCAAAGACAATTATTACATATTATTCTATTATTACAGACTGTATGTCACTGACATAAGATGGGGAGTTGTTTTTTCACACACTACGGAAACGATTTTATTAGTCCAGACTGTATTACAGTAGTGATTGATATATCCTTTATAGTTTTTTCAGCAAAACATCCACCCAAAGGTTCCTATCCATAAAATATCCTTGGTGGGCCTTTAGTGCTTATGCGCTTTCAGACGTGTACATTTTGATTTGTCTCAGCTTCTGTTTTCTCACAGCTGCATGAATGACTGTATTTGCCTTTCTTGTTCCCACCCAAAAACCATTAACAATGTGTTCAGTATGGTAAAGTAATTCAGAAAACACACAAAATCTAATTATATGGCCAATGATTTCACCAGTCTAGGTTTGGTTTCACAACATGAGGTTGCTGTCTTTTACAGTAACGCACCAGACAACCAGGTCTGGCACATAATGGACATGCTTCAGGGAAGCCCATCCTTTGGTGAAGACATCAAATCTATGAAATAACACATATGGAATCATGTAATAACCAAAAAAGTGTTAAAACATTCTTCAAATAGCCACCCTTTGCTTTGATGATAGCTTTGCACACTCTTGGTATTCTCTCAACCAGCTTCACCTGGAATGCTTTTCCAACAGTCTTGAAGGAGTTCCCACATATGCTGAGCACTTGTTGGCTGCTTTTCCTTCACTCTGCGGTCCGACTCATCCCAAACCATCTCAATTGGGTTGAGGTCGGGGGATTGTGGAGGCCAGGTCATCTGATGCAGCACTCCATCACTCTCCTTCTTGGTAAAAGAACCATTACACAGCCTGGAGGTGTGTTGGGTCATTGTCCTGTTGAAAAACAAATTATAGCCCAAACCAGTTGGGATGGTGTATCGCTGCAGAATGCTGTGGTAGCCATGCTGGTTAGGTGTGCCTTGAATTCTAAATCAATCACAGACAGTGTCACCAGCAACCCACCCCCACACCATAACACCTCCTCCTCCATGCTTTACAGTGGGAACTACACATGCAGAGAAAAACCCTTGAATGTGTAGGTGTGTCCAAACCTTTGACTGGTACTGTATATTTTGCGTGTGAAAGTCAGACAAGTGGATCATTTAGGGCCGAAGGCTGTCGTGAATCACACTTCCCTAACCTCCAAACACCTCTGTGTGACATTCTTAAATCCCCCCACTCCCCTCGCCTCACTAAATTATATAGTTGAGTTCCGTTGGATGTTGGGTCGTTGGCATGCAGACAAATAGGTAAAACATTGAATAAATTTTTTCTCACCAGTCTATTGGACCCATGGAATTTTCCACAAACTAAAGGGCAGCACTTCGAACTGAGAGGGGACATGAGTCATCAAACGACCCCACCTTTGCAGGTGTCATCATGTTGGACGAAGCTAATTGTCACGTAACATCTGTGCCCAAATAGCAATCCTGAGTGAATCACCACAGTTATAATGGAGGGACCTAAAAAGTTATTTGACCGTTATAATTGCCCAAGGATCATTGTGAAGTAGGGGCCTGGGTCTAATATAATGTATAATGTTACAGTGGTACTGTAAAACATTCATCGTAAAACTTCAGATGTTAGTTGGCAATTAATAAAACAATGAGCGGCTAGACAAAAAGGCGATCTAAGAGAGGTCAAACAAAACACATTATTGACAACAACATTAGCCCATTAGCCAGGAAAGTGGCCAGAATGTACTTAGATGTACATTATAAATAGGTACTTATCAAGCTCTGATTCTAGGGGGTAAAGTAATTCTAAGGAGGCGCATCAATTATCCAACGCAACACATGGTGCATCCATCCCTGCATATTTATGATGTTCTAATTTTTATGATGGCCGTTCAAAGCTGCCACATCAAGGAAGCAGACAGCAGCGAAATGACTTACGCAGATGAGGAGAGGAGGAGAGCAGGGGGACCCTGACCCAGGCCGCTGTTCAAAAAGATCTCCTGGCATCTAAACCAAAGACAGCCTGTCCACATAAAACCCTGCCCAAAGATTAACTTGGCCTTGAGAGACGAACGAAGCATACGCAAATTACTGACTGTAATCACACACCTGGCCTGAGTGGATTTGATCTGCCCCTTTGAAATCAGCATTGCAAAACCTCAGAACTATTCCCATACTATGTGTGCATGTGCTGTAGTAACTAGAAACAGTGTTCTACGGATTGATGAAACCTTTACAAAATCAAGATCAATCCTGAAAGTTGATGAATATTTTTTTAACAGGTAAGTGAATGGATGAATAACTACATATTCCAAACAAGACTGTCAGAACATCCACTTGTTCATCATGAGGGTTATAGAGGTTATTCAGTGGTTTCTCTGAGGTCTTTAATTGTGCTTGGTGTGGTAAATGTGTGGTAAAAGTGTTTGGGCATCAAGAAAAACACTCAATCTAGAGCCAACCATCTATCATTGCCATCTTCAAACCCACACTTACATGTACACTAGTTCCTAGGGATTTGTGATCTTCTTTGTAAGTAAACCACCACATTTCATCATAGCCAAGTCTCTACACAAGATAAACGTGCCACGGCCTTTGAAGTTGTACTTCCAGAAAATAATTGAATTAAGTCGTAGACATAACACACCTCTCCCAACCTGACACCGGCATGACACACTGTTCCCAGAAGAGAGAAAGACCAGACGACACACCGTTTAAGTTGTTTTTACAGTAATGGTAAGCCTTGTGCTACTGACCAGCCACCGCAAACTATGCATCGGATGCTCAGTGTATCACATCGTAAGCCATTACAGACTGCTAACGGGGCATGATAATTATTGTCATGGAATTCAGGGTCATCTGGCTTCCATTAGGATCCATCTTGATCCGAGTGTGTTTCCATGAGGGAAACATCTGTCTGGAAAACAGACAGACAGGCAGACTATTTTCAGAGTGGAAGTTTCCTGAGAATACTGAACACCAGGTTTGTGATGGAGATGTATTTGATGGTGAAGAGTCTGAACACTTTGGCCAAGGGACCTGCCAATGGTTCATGGGTTTCGAAGTGAGGGAAGGAAGGAGTTAGAAGTAAGCAATGTCCGTGGCACTTCTCATTGAGGCAATCGCTGGCCGTTCAGAGATATTTCAAAGTCATCTTCGGACATCTGCACAGTGTTCTAAGATATGTTGAGAAAATACTGTGCATAAGGATATGATTCATACTAAGTCTTACTGTATGAACACCTTTAGTTCTAACTGGTGCTCTAATTGAGGAATCAGAATTAATGAAAGAGTACTCTTCATGCCTCCTACTCCAGTTTCCCTTCAAGTGATGATCGAGCAGGTGGTTAACCAATATGATTTAATAACAGAACACGGCCACTACTTCACTCCAAGTTCATCTATTTTAGGAAAACACAGATATGCGTGTAGGCTATGTCTTACCCCCAATGCATAGCCTAAGTAGAAGAATAAACACTACCACTACCAAAACAGTTGCTATTTCAATCCAACTTTGCTGTGGTGGTGCAGTAATAGAGTCATGGCACCAGGGCTATTAGTGCTAATCAATTCACTAACCTAGCTACATTTCAGCTGGCTTCTACATTTGAAAAAAGTGAGAACCAACATCAATGGGACAGACAGGGTCTTTGGCAGAGCCAGTCCTGCAGAAACGATCAGGGCCGCAGAGCATTCCTCTTTGTCTAAGAGGGAAAAGAGACATTCCCATTTTCCAGGGTTAGGCTACAGTACACTGGGTCTTTGGAAAAGCGGCTGCGGAAGTAAGGAGACAATGTATGCAATTACACCCAGCAAAGTCACTTGATCCTGGGATCGGGAAAGCTGTGAACCTCTCGTCATTGGCCTCTTAGAGGAGGCATACAGTGAGGGAAAAAAGTATTTGATCCCCTGCTGATTTTGTACGTTTGCCCACTGACAAAGACATGATCAGTCTATAATTTTAATGGTAGGTTTATTTGAACAGTGAGAGATAGAATAACAACAAAATCTTCCAGAAAAACGCATGTCAAAAATTTTATTAATTGATTTGCATTTTAATGAGGGAAATAAGTATTTGACCCCTCTGCAAAACATGACTTAGTACTTGGTGGCAAAACCCTTGTTGGCAATCACAGAGGTCAGACGTTTCTTGTAGTTGGCCACCAGGTTTGCACACTTCTCAGAAAGGATTTTGTCCCACTCCTCTTTGCAGATGTTCTCCAAGTCATTAAGGTTTCGAGGCTGACGTTTGGCAACTCTGACCTTCAGCTCCCTCCACAGATTTTCTATGGGATTAAGGTCTGGAGACTGGCTAGGCCACTCCAGGACCTTAATGTGCTTCTTCTTGAGCCACTCCTTTGTTGCCTTGGCCGTGTGTTTTGGGTCATTGTCATGCTGGAATACCCATCCATGACCCATTTTCAATGCCCTGGCTGAGGGAAGGAGGTTCTCACCCAAGATTTGACGGTACATGGCCCCGTCCATCGTCCCTTTGATGCGGTGAAGTTGTCCTGTCCCCTTAGCAGAAAAACACTCCCTTAGCATAATGTTTCATTGGCAAACTTCAGACGGGCCTGTATATGTGCTTTCTTGAGCAGGGGGACCTTGCGGGCGCTGCAGGATTTCAGTCCTTCACGGCGTAGTGTGTTACCAATTGTTTTCTTGGTGACTATAGTCCCAGCTGCCTTGAGATCATTTACAAGATCCCCCCGTGTAGTTCTGGGCTGATTCCTCACCGTTCTCATGATCATTGCAACTCCACGAGGTGAGAACTTGCATGGAGCCCCAGGCCGAGGGAGATTGACAGTTCTTTTGTGTTTCTTCCATTTGCTAATAATCGCACCAGCTGTTGTCACCTTCTCACCAAGTTGCTTGGCGATGGTCTTGTAGCCCATTCCAGCCTTGTGTAGTTCTACAATCTTGTCCCTGACATCCTTGGAGAGCTCTTTGGTATTGGCCATGGTGGAGAGTTTGGAATCTGATTGATTGATTGCTTCTGTGGACAGGTGTCTTTTATACAGGTAACAAACTGAGATTAGGAGCACTCCCTTTAAGAGTGTGCTCCTAATCTCAGCTCGTTACCTGTATAAAAGACACCTGGGAGCCAGAAATCTTTCTGATTGAGAGGGGGTCAAATACTTATTTCCCTCATTAAAATGCAAATCAATTTATAACATTTTTTACATGCGTTTTTCTGGATTTTTTTGTTGTTATTCTGTCTCTCACTGTTCAAATAAACCTACCATAAAAATTATAGACGGATAATTTCTTTGTCAGTGGGCAAACGTACAAAATCAGCAGGGGATCAAATACTTTTTTCCCTCACTGTACATAGAGAAAAGATTGGTTGATAGCAGAACATTTCACTTTTATTGAGTTCTAATTCAAAACATTATGTTTCTGCCCGAAAGGTCTTCAATGGATAGTTTGGAGGAGGCATTGGCATACAACCAGTTTTTGCATCAGTTTCATGATACCTCCCATCAGTTTCATGTTAACAACATGATGCAACATGATGCCAGTTTATGTAATTACTCATACCTTTTCTTATGATGCAGTTGCTGATTTCTCATGTCTTGATTGATTTATGATGTTTAGAAATTGCAGTAAAAGTTTTTGGAAAGTAAAAGTACAATGTTTTTTTATGAGCTTTGTCCAGAAGTTGAACAATTTGAACGACTTTCCCCATTTCGTGCAAGCCCATAAACACATTCCATGACAGATTGCTGGGCGTTTGTCTTTGCAAAGCTCTGATGGGTTTTTCATTTTTACAATATGCTAATGAGGCAACAGACAAATAAAACATTCCAAAAGTCAATTTGGCATCGGGAGTTTGGAGCAGATGGTCGAGGTCCTGGTGTTGATAGAACAGACGACTGGCATCACAAACTTTGTTTACTCAATTCAAATGGGGTTCAACAGGCAATTTGCATGTGAGAGGGTTTAGAAAGTTTAATCGAAAGTCAGAGAGGTAGGCCTTAAACAGCTGGTAACAGTAAATTATCCACTTTTGCAAACAAGGTTAAGACGTGATAGGACAGCCAAAATGTAATACTCAAGTATCCCTCCAAAACACTGATCAATGAGGGGACGCTACAGGCACACAACAACAAAACAATTTAGTTTTAGTGGCGCATGAGGGAACTGGGAAATGTTGCATAGTGAAGGCCTAAATTAGGAGTAAAGGAAATGGTTTTGAACCCCCCCACACCCAGCCCTTAAAAGCACCATTCCCTCTAGGACTAATACACTGTAAAAGCCAAATTCATATTCAGAGCCAAAGCCCTAAAGTGGCCCAATGGATTAACAAATGAGGAGAGAAGAAAGAAAGTGGGCTAAGCAAATTAAACAAGGCCGGGACATAGAACAGGTGCTAATACTGGAGAGTGACGGGTTCCTTCTCTATTAACATCTGTCCGGATGAGGAAGTACAGACCATAGAGTCAAGAGTTGTTCTGACATGGCCAGGAGTCCCGGGACACACAGTGGCTGTAGTAGAGGGTGTTGCCCTGGGAGATTTATCCATCAGGAAGAGAAAGGCTGTTGGGAAATCCACCACTGAGTGGCCACTCAGACGTAGCAGTCCGCCACTCAGAGTTAAATGGGAAAGCCGAGGGCTGGAGAAAGACAGTTTCCAGGTTGGGACTCTGCCTGTAGGTCCTCAACTTACTATAATTCAGTAAGGATTGTATTTGTGTGCATACAACTACAGTATAAATGGTGTTGGGCTGAATTAAATGAGTTTAGATAATGTAAGACTGAATCGAAAAATAAACATTGAACCAATTGGGATTCATGGCATCGATCAACTGCCATAGATTCACTGAGCTGAAAGTCGTACTGTACATGCGTTATTGATTATCACTTCATGTTTAACCTACATTACTGTGTGAATAACATACACAGCATGATATAGCCTGATAACATGCAAGGCCCATTACAAGGTTATTAGCACCTCAGGTGGTGTGAGCTAAGCCCAAGGGAAAGCTTGAGTGCACTCTCCTGAATTGATGACGTTGTTGTTCCCATTCGTGCTAATGCTCACTTTAGGAAGCGTGGGGCAAGATTTAGAGCTTGAACAAGCGTGAAAATATGATTGGATATACATAAGCCATCAAAAGTTGGTCTTTCGTGCAATATTAGCTCTACCCTCTGACCTATACTGTATTTCACAATATTTATTGCCAAGTACATGTGATCATACACAAGGGAGTGCATGCATGTAGATGTTGGCTCTTACTCTACGGCACACCTGAGGAAAACAGTAGAAGGAACAGGCAGCTCCTTTTGGCAAAAGGGGGAGGGGAACCTTCTGCAGACTACACAAAGCCAGAGCCCAAACGTCAGCACAGCCACTGCTTTCAATGAGGCCCCGGTACAGAAGGAGAAGGGAAAATCAAGGGGGAAATATTTTGGAACAGCTGGATGTGGCACACCCCGGCTCTATTTATACCGGCAGAAGGGAGCGAGAGAGCCAACCTCTGCCGTAGAACCAGTCCCGGGCAGCTGGCCGCCTCGCTTTTGATGTCTCTCTCAGTCCAAACCCTGGCCTGGCAGCTCCATCCTCATAGCCCAGGGCTGCTCCAGTTCCTCACCTGGAAAAGGGCTCTGTTTAGAATGGCGAAGGAAACTGTTTGTCTAGAGAACATCATCTGAGTAGAAGAGTGGTAGGGTTCGCCTGGCCTAACCTCTTTTTACCCAGGATGGACTGGATAGGGCATACTGTACAAGGAGGAGTGACAGGGAGTCACTCAGGGACAATGGGGAGCTACAAGGAATTGCAAGTGTGGTGTGAGGGTTTTGAGTGTGGTTTGAGCATATTGCTTCATGCCCAGTTAAGCAATACATTGAGGGAGTCTTCCCAGTGTGCCTATAGGCCCTCTCTCTAAAGACAACACTTATCATTACTGGGTGACGCAAAATCCCTCTCAAGCTGCTTTCTCACGATCTGCACTTTGTATACTGTCCTTTATACACAACTGAGTCTAATATGTTGCTTTAAAACTGAATTAACAGCCCCCAATGTATACAACACTTACAGCCACTTTATGACCAGTTGAAGGACAAAAACACTGTTCCATTGTAATGGTGAGACTAAACATTTATCGAAACTCTCTAAAGGACTATGACATCAGAAACACATTCTTTCTCTAAAAAGGCCTAGTCATCCTCAGTTGCCCAAACATCATTATCAATTTGAGGACAGTTAGAAACATTATTGTGAAACAGCACAATGTTCCCATGATGCTGGGGATAAATGTTTGTGCAGGTTCTCCTGTGGTGCTGTGGGGAGATTCCAGGCAGAAGTAAATCTGGACTTGGGATGAGCTGCGGTACCTCACACAGCAGTTTTCCGGTAACACCGCGGTCAACCACGGTCACTCGTGGTCCACCTAGTCCACACATCCCATCGACCATGGTCTGGCCTGGTTCGCCACTACCAGAGGGGGAGCAGAGGATGAGCCAAGAACAATGACAGCATGCTGATGGATAAAGGACAATACTCACAGGCCACAGTAAGCACCACACCCTCTTAGATCACCATTGACAATGGTTCAATCGCTACCATAAAAATGAAGTCCATGTATTAGGGTTGCTGCATGTACAGTGGGGAAAAAAAGTATTTAGTCAGCCACCAATTGTGCAAGTTCTCCCACTTAAAAAGATGAGAGAGGCCTGTAATTTTCATCATAGGTACACGTCAACTATGACAGACAAAATGAGAAAAAAAAATCCAGAAAATCACATTGTAGGATTTTTAATGAATTTATTTGCAAATTATGGTAGAAAATAAGTATTTGGTCACCTACAAACAAGCAAGATTTCTGGCTCTCACAGACCTGTAACTTCTTCTTTAAGAGGCTCCTCTGTCCTCCACTCGTTACCTGTATTAATGGCACCTGTTTGAACTTGCTATCAGTATAAAAGACACCTGTCCACAACCTCAAACAGTCACACTCCAAACTCCACTATGGCCAAGACCAAAGAGCTGTCAAAGGACACCAGAAACAAAATTGTAGACCTGCACCAGGCTGGGAAGACTGAATCTGCAATAGGTAAGCAGCTTGGTTTGAAGAAATCAACAGTGGGAGCAATTATTAGGAAATGGAAGACATACAAGAACACTGATAATCTCCCTCGATCTGGGGCTCCACGCAAGATCTCACCCCGTGGGGTCAAAATGATCACAAGAACGGTGAGCAAAAACCCCAGAACCACACGGGGGGACCTAGTGAATGACCTGCAGAGAGCTGGGACCAAAGTAACAAAGCCTACCATCAGTAACACACTACGCCGCCAGGGACTCAAATCCTGCAGTGCCAGACGTGTCCCCCTGCTTAAGCCAGTACATGTCCAGGCCCGTCTGAAGTTTGCTAGAGTGCATTTGGATGATCCAGAAGAGGATTGGGAGAATGTGATATGGTCAGATGAAACCAAAATAGAACGTTTTGGTCAAAACTCAACTCGTCGTGTTTGGAGGACAAAGAATGCTGAGTTGCATCCAAAGAACACCATACCTACTGTGAAGCATGGGGGTGGAAACATCATGCTTTGGGGCTGTTTTTCTGCAAAGGGACCAGGACGACTGATCCGTGTAAAGGAAAGAATGAATGGGGCCATGTATCGTGAGATTTTGAGTGAAAACCTCCTTCCATCAGCAAGGGCATTGAAGATGAAACGTGGCTGGGTCTTTCAGCATGACAATGATCCCAAACACACCGCCCGGGCAACGAAGGAGTGGCTTCGTAAGAAGCATTTCAAGGTCCTGGAGTGGCCTAGCCAGTCTCCAGATCTCAACCCCATAGAAAATCTTTGGAGGGAGTTGAAAGTCCGTGTTGCCCAGCGTCAGCCCCAAAACATCACTCCTCTAGAGGAGATCTGCATGGAGGAATGGGCCAAAATACCAGCAACAGTGTGTGAAAACCTTGTGAAGACTTACAGAAAACATTTGACCTGTGTCATTGCCAACAAAGGGTATATAACAAAGTATTGAGAAACTTTTGTTATTGACCAAATACTTATTTTCCACCATAATTTGCAAATAAATTCATTAAAAATCCTACAATGTGATTTTCTGATTATTTTTTTCTCATTTTGTCTGTCATAGTTGATGTGTACCTATGATGAAAATTACAGGCCTCTCTCATCTTTTTAAGTGGGAGAACATGCACAATTGGTGGCTAACTAAATACTTTTTTCCCTACTGTAAGCCATGGATCTTTGTAAATGCAATACATAGAGCTACAATATCCTATATCTATGCAACATTATGTAGTGAACACATTCAATGTATTTATAGTAGTGGGCAGATATTAATACCATTAAGTCATATGATATCATTGTGTCCACATGCTATGGTATGGGTCTAGGGAAAACAACTAATAGGGGTATTCCTGTGAAATCATGTCTATATTTAGGTTCCCACAATTCCCTCAGTGACATATGGTTGTCTCCACGCAGTGTGACGTCTACATCCGGTGAGCCCACGGCCCTCCAACCTCCATACCCATGAATCACTGGTCTCCACTCCATCCACCATCCTTCACTGATTAGCTAAGCCCCCTCCTCCTCCCACTCACCTTCCCTTCCTCAACTGTTTCTGGGAAGGGCTGCTGGTTAAGCAAGAGGAAACACACGTACTGGCCTATTTAAAACTGCGAGTGGAATCCTACTAGAACTAGATGCCAATGAAAGCATAGGACCACAGTGCATTACAGTACAATAACACACTGGTTGGAGCTAGCAGGTAGCCTAGCGATTCAGAGCGTTGAGCCAGTAACTGAAAGGTCGCTGGTTCGAATCCCCATGCCGGGAAGGTGGAAAAATCTGCTGTTTTGCCCTTGAGCAAGGCAGTTAACCCCCAACTGCTCCCCGGGCGCTGATGACGTGGCCGTCGATTGAGGCAGCCCCCCGCACCTCTCTGATTAAAATAAAATAAAATGTTATTTGTCATATGCGCCGAATACAACAGGTGTAGACCTTACTGTGAAATGCTTACCAACAAGCCCTTAACCAACAATGCAGTTCAAGAAATAGAGTTAAGAAAATATTTACTAAATAAACTAAAGTAAAAAATAAAAAGTAACAATAAAATTACACAACAATAACAAGGCTATATACAGGGGGTACCGGTACCGAGTCAATGTGCGGGGGTACAGGTTAGTCGAGGTAGTTTGTCCATGTAGGTTGGGGTAAAGTGGCTATGCATAGATAATAAACAGCGAGAAGCAGCAGTGTGTCATCAGCAAACTTAATGATGGTGTTGGAGTCGTGCTTGGCCACGCAGTCGTGGGTGAACAGGGAATACAAGAGGGGACTAAACATGCAACCCTGAGGGGCCCCAGTGTTGAGGATCAGCGTGGCAGATGTGTTGTTGCCTACCCTTACCACCTGGGGGCGGCCCGTCAGGAAGTCCAGGATCCAGTTGCAGAGGGAGGTGTTTAGTCCCAGGGTCCTCAGCTTAGTGATGAGCTTTGTGGGCACTATGGTGTTGAACGCTGAGCTGTAGTCAATGAACAGCATTCTCACATAGGTTTTCCTTTTGGCAGTGTGGAGTGCGATTGAGATTGCGTCATCTGTGGATCTGTTGGGGAGGTATGCGAATTGGAGTGGGTCTAGGGTTTCCGGGATGATGGTGTTGATGTGAGCCATGGCCAGCCTTTCAAAGCACTTCATGGCTACCGACGTGAGTGCTACGAGGTGGTAGTCATTTAGGCAGGATAACTTCGCATTCTTGGGAACAGGGACTATGGTGGTCTGCTTGAAACATGTTGGTATTACAGACTCAGTCAGTAACACTTGCCAGTTGGTCCGCGCATGCTCCGAGTACACGCCCTGGTAATCCATCTGGCCCCGCGGCCTTGTGAATGTTGACCTGTTTAAAGGTATTGCTCACATCGGCTATGGAGAGCGTGATCACACAGTCGTCCAGAACAGCTGGTGCTCTCAAGCATGCTTCAATGTTTCTTGCCTAGAAGCAAGCATAAAAGGCATTTAGCTCGTCTGGTAGGCTCGCGTCACTGGGCAGCTTGCGGCTGGGTTTCCCTTTGTAGTTTGCAAGTCCTGCCACATCCGAGCATCAGAGCAACTGTAGTAGGATTCAATCTTAGTCCAATATTGACACTTTGCCTGTTGCAAGGATGAGAAGGCTAGGAAACAATATAAACACCCAATGACAGCGATTCCAGTAACTCATAAAACAGTGTACGGTTACCAGGTTTACTTTCTAGCTTGACAGCACATAGATCATTGGAATGGTACACCTAAATAAATTTCTAACATCCCAGGCTGTCACGACTTTGGCCGAGGCTGCCTCCCCTCCTGTCACTGACAGTTCATCATACTTTAACTGCTGGGAGCAGGAGTACCATTGTGAGTGAGATGGAGAGCACAGGTCAGGGTCAGGGACGTGTTTCCCTTTCCTAGTAGTCAGAGGTCTCCATTGAACGTGAACTGATAGCCATAATCTCACTGTTAGTTAATGGGAACAGTGAACTGACAGTGGTTTCACCATAGCGATATAATGGGTATAACCATCAAAAGATAAGGAGCTGTCTGTGACATCTTGCTTTGAAGATGAAATGTTTTAAAGAGCGGTGTAGATGAATGAGCTGCTGATAAATACGGAGATGAAAACGTTTCCGGGTCACGATAATGCTTCCAGGTTTCCTAGTTGACCTCCTAGAAGATAAGACGTAGATCCTAGAGCAGCTTCACAATCATCTAAACAATGGGTATCACAATGTGCTGACAGATCAGAGATAGAATGCTTGACTTTATCGCACAAGAAGTGGCTTCCTTTTATACTGCGAAAAACGGACAACGACTACATCATTTAAGATGATGTAGTCTCTAATGGCATATCAAGTAGCCTGCCAGCGTGACATTTGGTTCTGGGTGCCAAGATTAAAGATTGATGCCCAACACCTATTATCTTCACTCACAAATGAAGTCCAACACCAGTTGACTGAATGGGGTGTTTGTTTGACCTGCAGGACCAAACGTCCAGGAAGTTTCAATTAAATAATCTCTCACTTACCCTCTATTAGTCTCACAGGCCTGTTTGGCACGCAGGGGAAATGTTTACCAATGTCTAAAGCCACTGTATGTGTGGGTGAGTTAGCCTAAGTGAATTCACTCAGGCCATTTTGTTTGGTTAGGGGGATGGAATGTAGTGTAAACTTGAGCCTTGTCAACCTTGATTGGTTTTACTACCATACAGTATGTGCATTGCTAATCTCATTAACCGTAGTATTTTACATGTTTTCTTTAAAATAAACAGCAGTAAAGCAAAAAGGGGGCCATGTCTCCCTTAAGCACTATGGCATGTGGGAGAGGGAGTAGCGTAGGAGGACCAACAGGCAGGAACCCCAGTGAGTCATGCACGTTTGGATGAGATACCCCGGAGACCCTCTCTCAGCGCTGCTATCTTTTCAACTTTCGCCTCTTCCGGTGTCTATTTAACGGCTTGTCAGTCGCATGAAAGGTATTTCCTCTGAGTCACCGCCTGCTCCCTTTTGTCATTACAGAACCACACAGAGCCTTCAAACACCTCTCAGCGCACAATGCCTTCCCAGGCTCCCTGAAGGCTGGCTGGGCAGCTCGCACTAAATAGGCACTTTTTATATACATTTTTATAGAGATGAAATTATTCACTTTGTGCCTGCATTATGCTTACAGTATGTTGGCCTACTTAGGACAACAACATTTCCAGAAGGTCCTATGGCGTTTTTTGTGTAAAGGACAGATTGGGTAATACGGAAACGTCATGAGGGATATCACAGAGAGCATCCAAGGCTGCGCCTCCCTCCCCATGCCATTCTCTTTTGTCACACTCTTTTTATATAAAGTGACTTCAGAAATGTTAGATAATAACTATAAAACATTACATTGACAGAGGTTATGTGGCTTAAATCGAGGCCATGGTGACGTAATCTGGTTATTGGAGTATTTGTTAGAGGAATCCTCAGGGACATCAGACGGAAATGTTGGACACCACCCTGATCCAGCTGAGAAGCTCAGTTAAAAGACAATTATAAACGTCACAGCTAACTCTGGGTTGTTAACTGATTGTAATGACGTCATTTCCACCAGCCTTGCCTGCTGGGCCTGTTCCTATTGAGGTTAATGGGGAGCGTTCTAAAAAGGTGTTAATGAGAGGGGCTAAAGGGTCATAGTTCATTAGCCTGGGATTACTCTGGCTTTGTTATATAACTCTCAACCCTAACCCCTAATGTGGCTCCCTATCCCTTCCACAGATCAGCCTCCACACACAGTGATATCTCCACTCAGGTTTCTGAACACTTACAGTACCAGTCAAAGGTTTGGACACACCTACTCATTTTCTACATTGTAGAATAATAGTGAAGACATCACAACTATGAAATAACACATATGGAATCATGTAGTAACCAAGACAGTTTTAAACGAATCAAAGTATATTTTATATTTGAGATTCTTTAAATAGCCAGCCTTTGCCTTGATGACAGCTTTGCACACTCTTGGCATTCTCTCAACCAGCTTCACCTGGAATGCTTTTCCAACAGTCTTGAAGGAGTTCCCACATATGCTGAGCACTTGTTGGCTGCTTTTCCTTGAATTCTAAATAAATCACAGACAGTGTCACCAGCAAAGCATCACCACACCATAACACCTCCTCCTCCATGCTTTACGGTGGGAAATACACATGTGGAGATCATCCGTTCATCCACACCGCGTCTTTACACGGCGGTTGGAACCAAAAATCTCCAATTTGGACTCCAGACCAAAGGACATATTTCCACCGGTCTAATGTCCATTGCTTGTGTTTCTTGGCCCAAGCAAGCCTCTTCTTCTTATTGGTGTCCTTTAGTAGTAGTTTATTTGCAGCAATTCGACCATGAAGGTCTGATTTACACAGTTTCCTCTGAACAGTTGATGTTGAAATGTGTCTGTTACTTGAACTCTGTGAAGCCTTTATTTGGACTGCAATTTCTGAGGCTGGTAACTCATGAGAGCCAGTTTCATCATAGCGCTTGATGGTTTTTGCGACTGCACTTAAAGAAACTTTCAAAGTTCTTGACATTTTCCGTATTGACTGACCTTCATGTCTTAAAGTAATGATATACTGTCGTTTCTCTTGCTTATTATTTGCCATCATATGGACTTGGTCTTTTACCAAATAGGGCTATCTTCTGTATACCCCCCCTACCTTGTCACAACACAACTGATTGGCTCAAATGCATTAAGAAATAAAGAAATTCCACAAATTAACTTTTAAGAAGGCACACCTGTTAATTGAAATGCATTCCAAGTGACTACCTCATGAAGCTGGTTGAGAGAATGTCAAGAGTGTGCAAAGCTGTCATCAAGGCAAAGGGTGGCTATTTGAAGAATCTCAAATATTAAATATATTTAGATTTGTTTAACACTTTTTTGGTTACTACATGATTCCATATGTGTTATTTCATAGTGTTGATGTCTTCACTATTATTCTACAATGTAAAAAATGGTAAAACATAAAGAAAACCCTTGAATGAGTAGGTGTGTCCAAACTTTTGACTGGTAGTGTAAATAAAAACAGAGGGGAGAGAAAACTGATTAATTTGTCTAATTCTAGAGATTGTAGCCAGCGTGAAGGATTTTACCATCGCTCACACTGGGTCACTTGAGAAACACTGTTCTCTCTCTCTCTCAACTTCAGCATGAGAAGCTTTTGAAAATGAGGCTGGTTGTGAGACTAATGCCAATACTCAGAGGTCATTTGGAATGTATTTTCAAAGGTATAAAAGGGTTCTGTAGTTCTCACATTAGAGGTGTATTCATAAGCATACACTGTTTAATACAACAGGTGCAAAACAGTGTAGAGGCCAAGTTTTTTTGACTAAATGAAAAGGTCCATTACTGCCTGGAATTTAGCCTTGATCACTGACCAGAAAATGCTACAGAAGTTCACGGAACATAAATTGACATTTAGTGGTGAGCCTAGAAAAAACACAAAACCATGTCTTTCTGATACACCCAAAGGAAACCTAATTGTACATGTTGCTGTTTCACTGTTAAAATAAACCTGAGTGGCTCAGTGGTCTAAGGCACTGCATCGCAGTGCTAGCTGTGCCACTAGAGATCCTGGTTCGAATCCAGCCGGCCGCGACCGGAAGACCCATGGGGCGGCGCGCAATTGGCCCAGCGTCGTCCAGGGTAGGGGATGGAATGCCGCATAAGTAGCCACATGCTTTCAACGCCATGGTGTGGTTCGATTCCCAAGGGGGTATAAAATAAAGAGTATGCCTACTAACTGTAAGTCGCTAAGAGCGTCTGCTAATGCTAAATTTATAACAAACAGGTAAAACGACTAACAATATGCCAAGTTTCCCATGACTTATAATAAATCAATGCTCCTTGTGATGCTACATTCAGCTCTATGGTTTTTCCATCACTCAGACAGCGAATGTTTACTAGCTGGATGTTTAAGTGACAAAAGTGAAAGGGGGGAAATAATATTTTGAATAAAAAGAGAAAGCATTGTAAAATCAATTCCAATATGTCATGCAGCTGTTATTCTTATGACATCATCGAGACGGCTCGAGTCGTGATTGGCTGTTATGCCGCGAAATCTGGCGAAGTGTGTGGCGTTCCAGCGTCTCCCGCACTATATGTAATTTGTGACTCGCGCTCTGAGGCGCATTGACAGGCAATACCCTGACGGTGAGAGTAGAGCTGGACATACGCACTGAAGCAGACAAGAGCTCAACTCGGGACAGACTTTGAATAACTATTCGGCGACATAACTTTTTGTTGTAAAGTAAACAGACAAGGGAGATTTCACGCACTAGAAAATGCAGTCCCTCTGTCACCAACTGCTCAGCTTGCTGTTCGTTTTCAGCAGCCTTCAGATTCATGAACTCACAGAGGCTTGCTCGTGTGCTCTGTCGCACCCGCAAGATGCTTACTGCAACTCTGACATAGGTAAGTCGCATGGTTTGTGGCCACATAGACTATATGTTATGCCAACAAAAATATTTTCTCTATTTAAATGTATTTTTGCAGTGGTTTTGTGATATTCTGCATACATAGAATAGAATAAGAAACTGTTGTTAATACAAAGCGATGCAACTTTCAGTCTGGGACCTATGCGTAATGGGTAAATCTCTGCCAAACAAAGTTATGCGTAAAATGTAACCATCACCTAAAACGCCATTTAAAACAAACAGAATGTTTAAAAATGTCAGAATATACCAGTTTGAGTATCAGATGGCTCGTAGGCTAACGGTTTACTACAACAGCACGCTTTCTGAGTAGTCTAAATAAATTCGTCATCTCTCAAATTAGTGAGTCAAGAGAGAGGAAGCTTTACTTTATTTCCCCTTGCTCTGATGAGAGGGAAGAGTTAACGGGAACGGTATCCATGGAAACAGGTCCCACTGATCATTATGTTTTTCAGAGCTAAATTACCACTTGCTGAGCAATAAACCAGAACAGAACAGGCAGACAGTAGCCAGCCAAGGGTTTTACTGCTGACCGAATATTGCACCCATGTGTGGAGGTTACCAATGGCAGATTTGGAGTGGAGACTAGCTACTGTTCTTGGATCTTGTGCTCTTGGATGCTCTTCTGTTCTGTCTGGCTTCCCATAACATGTAAGAGCCAGGACTTGGCTAGGAATGTTAAGCAAGTGCTCTTGCAATCAATTTGTGAATTCTACGTCCTATTGGTATAGCATTGCCCTTCAAAGTGTTTGTGCTCTTCTACGAAAGCACCTTTACTTTCCAATAGGGGGCAGATTCATTCCATTCAGGCATTTGATATAGAGAAATGAAGTCAGCATTGGTATAATAAAGCCTTGGTTATTGACTTAGGTGCACTGGTATTTTCTGTGTTGATTCTAGATATATTTTCTTGTGGAGCTGATCCTCGGACCCACTTGTAGCTGAGATTTCCTTGGCCACTGGGTCGTGCCTTCACAGACTATGCCAGAATAACATGAAGTCAGCTGTTCTTATCGAGGAATGCCAGTCCAACCTGAGCAGTGTTATTGGATAACACTTGTTAAGACCAGGTGGGTCCTGGCTCGCCGCTGTTGCTGCAGGAGACTCATTCCTGAAAAGGAGTAAGGGATTATTTGATAAGCCTGAGCATTAATAAGTGTTGCGGGGGTCTAAAGCAGGAGGGAAAAGGTAGAGTGAAAGAGAGAGTCCACTGGGATATACAGTATTAGGAGAACTGTGTGCAGCTCTTTTGTATTGTGGAACGGAACTGCTGGCAGCAGGCAGAGTGTGTGTGTGTGTGTGTGTGTGTGTGTGTGTGTGTTCGACCAGTCATCCCTACACACACACGCACACAGATAGCTTTGTCAGAAACAGACATCAAACATCCATTAGGGTAGCATAGAGTGGTCCAATGCCCCGGAGAGGAGGAGAAGAGGACAGCAGAGCTGTTCCGCCCCATGGGCGGGCTCTTGTTGAGGACACTACTAAGATGTCATGTTTCTTCTGCAGTGATCCCAAGTCTATGATTGAAGCCTGACGAGGTCAGAGGAGAGAAAGCGATGTTGACTTTTCAACATATGGCAACTGTTCAAAAATAACACTCTCTCATGCAAGTGGCAGGTTGACCATTCATGTCAAACACCAACGTATTTATGCACACATTTCCTCAGCTTCTAACAGCATTGATGAGCATTGCATGTTATTTAACTATAATTACTGGGGCAATGCTTATGCTAGTTGGTGACCTGGTTCCATTGTGTTGAAGATGTACAAATGTTAGTGTCGCAAGCAGTCAGGTGGCACCCTGCCTTTCATGTCCCCTAAGTTGGCTCATCCCATTGGCAAGGGGCCAGAATCTAGTGGGCCAGAATCTAGGGCTGGCTTCACTGGCTGCAAGTTAGCACTTGTGAGCTCCACAAAATTCCATTTCCAAGGTCTTGGCTCAGCCAGAAGTGCGTCACGAATGCCTGTAGCGTGTACAGAACTATAGTCCTGATAAAACACAACACTGTAAACATGCCAGGATCACATTTCATCATGTAGATAACACAACTGTAGAGTTATTTTTCCCAGTGGAACAATTGGCCATGGACAAAGCTTGAGAAAATTATATTGGAGTAACATGCACACTTTTTCCAAATTAATTTGACCATATATCCATCTTAAGCTCATTGAGCAATAATGAAGGCTATTGCTTTCAGTTAGAGACAGTGGAATGAAGATAGTGTTGGGCTTCTGTTATGATAGGGAATCTAGTGCAGTTATCATGAACATGCAAACTTATGATGACTTTATTGCATAATTATTATGCAACTGATGACATTTTTTGGGCAAGATTTCCCATGTTAAATTCCGATAGCTCATGTTGTAAGCCAACTGTAAATGGAGTTTGGCATGAACATGATGTATTTGGACGGTGGAGGATAACAGTTATCTCCTGGCAACACCTAGAGTTATGATGGATATTCTGATGTGTGTCCCCTGGGCATGTTCAAACAAACATGTGCTGCAGTCTTGTCAAAACAGCGCAAGTCCATTTTCTGGGACGAAACGCAGGTCCAAAAGCTTTACATGGCCTTGCAATGCATCACTTCACTGGCGTTTGATGAATGTTTAAAGAAAATGTCACCTTTGATAAACCTTAGTGTCAAGATACCCCTAAAACGTACTGTATGCAGATCTATACCTTACAAAATATTCACTATGAAGGACTTTATCCCCATCTTTTCCCCCCCATTTCATTTGAACAGTACTTTCAATGGTCTGTTTATTTCCTCAACAATAACTATGACGAAAAATACTTGTCAACAACCTATTTTTCCTGACTAAAACTATGACAATAATGAGACGAGATGCCCTGTGGAAAAAAACTATAACTATTACAAATTACTTTTCATTTTAGTTGACAGAAATGTGACGAGACTTCCCCCGTGAGACTAATGGACATTTCATTTGACGTGAAGCTCATTTTCATCTGTCTGTTTTGTCCAATCCTAAACATGCATGCATGCATGCAGAATATTTAATGCAATCCTTTCATTGGCAGAATTGATATCTTTCAGTTGCACGGTCTGATTGAGTGATCCCACACAGCTCCAGGCGATCACTTCAGTCACTCGTCAATCTTTTTGAACTGATGCGAAGCCAGGACACTTGACTTATAACTAACCTCAACTAGAAACACTGACCACGGTTACATGAACACAATATTGTGATTATTGTGGATAGTCAGGTTAATATAATAGTTAATTTAAAACGTTTACATGCTTTGCAAGAAGAACCATTTACCTAATAATCCTGTTTACATGGACACATCTGAAATCAGGCTACTGATGGAACTTTCGATAAATGCAGAAAATAGGCAATCAAAATAAACGTTCTACCACAGTGACCATGTTATTTTTGAGAATACTATTTGATTCGGAGTTCAAACATATAACGTTTGTACGTGAAAACTATTTATAAGATGCATACTTCGTTTTTCCAAACTCACTTCACTCGCGCATAAGAGGGAAGCTTGCGCTACCTCGTGCTGGCACATGCGCAGATCAAATACACCGTTGGAACGCCGATTAAGCTGTTTGCTGTCCTAATAATTTGAAAGATTACTCAGAAAACCAGGTGTTTTAATCGGCGTATGCCTACTTCGATTATGACTTTATGCCGATTAGGATAAACAGAGTAAGGTGTTTACATGACTAATGCCATACTCAGCCTTCTGCTATAATCAGTTTAATATCGAATTATTAGTGTGCATGTACACGTACTCAATGTTTACTCTCGCTCTCTTACTTTCATATAGGCTATTTTTGCTTTGATCATTTCAGAAGCTCTATTTTCCCATGTGCGCTGTTATTCATTCATCGGTGTTGCCGCTCTCGCGCTGTGGTCTGCAAATGCGAGTTGCGGTTGCTTTTTTCCTATGGTAAAAACAAATGCTATTTGTTGAATATTAGGAGTACAGTAATATTTCTGGCATTTTTGTAAAGCTCAAATTCTCCCCTTATCAAGGAAACCACTTTTATTTACCCCCTTGACAGCCTATAATTATGGCTGGCATTGGATACAATCCTCCACGCAATGTTGGCAGCTAAGGTATACGAAGGAATAGTAGGCCTAGTTGGACAAGGATATCTGAATGTGCACATGATGGAAGTTAGAGGTAGCGTAAATATTAATTATTTAATAGAAACAAATGCACTGACTATTATGTGACTAAAAGGGCTGTGACTAAAAGTAGACTAAAATTGTCCAGAGTTTTAGTCTACTGATAATAACTAAAACTAACGAAGGATGAAATGACAAAAATGTGACTAAGCTAAAGTGTATTTTAAGGACTAAAACTAAATCTAAAATAGCTGCCAAAATGAACATTACATTGAACCCTAGGGCTGACTCTTATTTGAGGACTACTGTCAAACGGCTATGGTTTACACACAGTGTGAATATCTATATGTGGATTAAAATGCAAATGGTGACCTTAAGCTCCCCTCAGGTGTAACGCTGAGTGAGGAGAGAGGCTAATTTCCACTGTCAACTTCAAAGGCGACACGGTAGAACATGAATCATCCTAATTTAAGAGCCAGAGGCGAGTTCAAAGCCTGCTCCTGTTGTTTCATAGGCCCTGTTCCGTAATCACCAGCAGCACCCGCCCTAATAGATGAATCAGACAGACATCTTGAATTGAGGAAATGAGGATACATATAAAAAAAATACAACAAAGAGGAAAAAACATGTTAAATACCAACTCCAAATAACCTGAGGGTAACTTTGCAATCAGCAAACAGTGCAGCGGCTGGCTATGATATAGCATTTGGCTGGCAGCGTAAGGAGTTAAACTAGGTCGGCTGATATACGTTCTCTCAATGAACCCTTCCTTGCATTTCTAGACAACAGTCGGATAGCCATTTCCTGTCATTTTTTTCTTGCTGCATACGTAGGCTACGAGAGAAAGAGAAGAGATTTTCCTCAGATTACACAGACCCACAAAGAATTTGAAAACAAACCCAATTTTGATAAACTCCCATATCTATTGGGTGAAATATCACAGTGTGCCATCACAGCAGCAAGATTTGTGACCTGTTGCCACAAGAAAAGGGCGACCAGTGAAGAACAAACACCATTGTAAATACAACCCATATTTATGTTAATTTTTTTCTTCCTTTTGTACTTTAACTATTTGAACATAACATGACTTTTGAAATGTCTTTATTGTTTTGGAACTTTTGTGAGTGTAATGTTTACTGTTCATTTTTTAAATTGTTTATTTCACTTTTGTTTATTATCTATTTCACTTGCTTTGGCAATGTAAACATATGTTTCCCATGCCAATAAAGCTCTTAAATTGAATTGAATTTGATAAATTGAAATTGAAATTGAATTGAGAGAGCGAGAGAGAGCGAGCGAGAGAGAGAGAGTTTTTGTGCACAGCAGACCTACTGGGCTGCAATTTACTTGGTGACTGAAACAGCCCATTCACATTGGAAGAGAGGGGAAGTCTGTTTTTCTAAAGCTTTTTATGCAGCAGATTAGCGTTTCGGTCGGCCCTAGCTACACTTTGGCCCTGGAGTTTAATATCCCTTCAAGGCCAAGGCCCTCGTTCCCAAGGAGCTGAGGTGTCAGGAGCAGACCTTCACATTCTTGTACCATGCACCGATTCAGTATAGAAGATTACTGCTGTGGGTAAGTGTGGCTTTGCCTGGGATAAGAACCTTAGTTAGCAATAGCTCAAAACTACATGTTTCTCTAAGTTACTATAGGTTGCAATAATGCAAAACTCAATCCTATTCTCTACTATGCTTCCCAATCCTCTTCCCAACTGGCAAAGGGAGATGGGCCCCTATTATGAGGAACTTTATGTCATCTGGGATCAGCTCGGTGCAATCAAAGCAGCTTCATTCCATAAGGTCAGTGTTTCTTCCTGTTAAAATAGGTCAAAAGGGGCAAGATTCCCTGCATGTTTGACATGTACACCCTGTGAGACAGGCATATCGAGTATCTAAGCCATCCCTTTTCTCCAGACCACGCAACTTCAAACCACCAGTGCAGTCCTGAAATAGTACCCTCTTCCCTATATAGTGCATTACTTTTTAAATCAGAACTACACATCCCATGTTGGCTAAATTGCTTCTATGTCTTCGGCGAACTGGTGGGAAATTCCTTTTCTATTCAGGTCAAGTGTAATCCCACTACAGGCGAGGTCAGCTCTGGCACCTCGAAAAGAGGAAGAGTACTTATAGAGAGAGTAGTTTCTTTTTTGAGTGGAGTACCCAGTGAGTGTGTCATACTAAGTGGCATCGTTTTCCACTAACGTCAGATCATGTTCAGAATCAGTCTCACTCTCCCTCTCTTACCATCATACACACATATAGTTGACAACACTGGTTATACACCACCACATTACTTTTCCCCTATCCTTCCCTTCTTCTTCCGTCTATGTCAACCTTGTCATGGTGACTTTCTCCTAATCATGCACTCGGTTTGCTGTAATCACAATTTAGCCTGAGGTGCCTCACAAGATTCACAGGCAAAATGTAAAGCAGGAGGTTTAAAATGCTTGATTGAATTACATTCTCACTTGTGTTGCGACTAGCATTTGAATGCATAGATTAGTAATCCCATGCTTCAGGAGAAGAGATACTGTGCTAAATGAATTCAATTACTTTCTCTGTCATACCCCAATCCACCTACTTTCCAATGGGAATGTATGTCAAATCCACTGCAAAACATGAATATGTATGTGGCAGAAACAGGAGAATAGCACTCGCCTGTAATTGCAACTTATGTGTGTGTGTGTGTGTGTATAGAGAGAGAGAGAGAGAAGAGAGAGAGAGAGAGAAGAGAGAGAGAGAGAGAGAGAGAGAAGAGAGAGAGGAGGAGAGAGAGAGAGAGAGAGAGAGAGAGAGAGAGAGAGAGAGAGAGAGAGGAGAGAGAGAGAGAGAGAGAGAGAGAGAGAGAGAGAGAGGAGAGGAGAGGGAAGAGAGAGAGAGAGAGAGAGAGCGAGAGAGAGAGAGAGAGAGAGAAGAGAGAGGACACAAACTTTGTCATTTTTCTGGGGACGGCGGGGGCCCAGACCTAGCCTGAAGAGGCATATTGAAAGAGAACTGTGGTCAGTGGTAAATATAGCTATCATTCTGAGTTCTACTTAGGGCCCTTCCCTTGGATGGTCAAAGGGTCGCTGTAGGGAATAACACAAATCCTCTGTCTCACCAGCAGCTGCGGCCTTTCACACATTCCGCCAGGCAATGACATCGGCACCATCCAAATTAGTGGCTGCCCGCCCAGTGGCGAGCGTATCCCGCCTCAAAGGGCATTTGGTGTTACTGTTGCGCTCTTGTTCAGCGATATGACTCCTACGCCTAATAACATTTTGAAGGTTCAATGCAAAGCTCTTTGGAATTGGAGTCTTATCATTTTGGGTGGGGAAAGCTGTCTTTGCAATGGAGTTTAGGTTTTAAGGGGAAGGCAGGTTTTGGGCTACTGGCTTCTGAAAATAGTTTGAGGGATCAGAGCATTATGAGGGAGCAGTGCATCACATTACATAAGGAGGGATCAGAGTATCATATGTTTCATATCTTCACATGCCACAGTAATAGTGCCTATGCTCCATACAATTACATCAGTGAAAGTAGCATTCATTTGATTCTGCATAGCAGAGACTGGTTAGGTAACAATGCTTTGAGGCTCATAATATGCGAATTGACAGATTAATAGAGCAGATGTCCTTTATAGATGGATGTGTGATTCTCTATCAATTGGATGGCAGATACTCTATTAGAGAGTCATGTCATTCTAAACTGGAAGGTGAAAATGTGAGCATGTGAGTCTTTTCTATTCATAAGCCAACATGATTACTGCTTTTCCTTTAGACTCCCTTTGCTGCCCATTTCTGTGTGTCTGGGACTTAAATACAGACTATGACGCTATAAGAGGAGATGTTACAGTACATCCCTTCTTCACTCTGTCTAGAGGAGTGAGACGCGCTTCCCTTTATTTCCCCCCCGGCTGGAGAATGTGAGCCTCAAAGGAATGTGGGAAGGAAATTCCGGAGAGGAAAGACAAACATCCCCACCGTTAGTTATGTCTGTGGCTGTCAGGCTGCGGGTAGCAGGTGAATTTGACTCGAGTCGACTGCGCCTGCATGTCGACTACCCCTTCTCCCCCGGGGGGGCCCAGAGCTCTGATACAGGTACTCTGGGGACCCTATTCACTGGCCTAAATTAGGCTTAGCTCATAAGCCGATCCCCCACACAATGGACCCACTTACTTTAAAAGGAGTGAAAGCAAAAAAGGCGATTCCACAGCTGAACTGTTTCACCTAGCCGCTGTTTACATGAGGGTGAGCAGCACTGATAAGATCTTTTTTCACCCTGTGCTGAATTTAAAGAAAGGAGGTTGTTTAAACAGTGGAGATAAATGGTTTTATGATACAGGGATAAGGCTGGAGGGAGGTAGTAAAAAAGGTCTGAAGAACTGCTTTGGCCTCTGAGTCAAATTCAAATGCTAGCTCCTAGTCTTCCATTGGACTTGTTTGGCAAGCAGAAGCAATCCAGAAAAACAAATAAATAGATTATAAACTGGGTCTCTCCTCTAGGGGCTGGGATTTTAATGATCCTTTGGAAAAGCAATGCACAGCCCAATGCATTCTAGGGTCTTAAATCGGGAGTTGATATCACCATACTTCTAGCTAAAGCATCTGTTAGGGTGATGTGTTGGGATGTTGAACACATATTGGACCTACTATTTAGGCTTCTCTTTTGATGCTCACACAAACACGTCAGCCTGGCTCCAGACGTCAGGGACGGAGATGGGGACATGACTTGCTCTGATGTGACCTGAATTCGGAATCATCCAATATGCTGGATTTGTCAGCTAGAGGCTCTACAATCTTTGTCCATCGCATAATTGATGAATTCTGTGCTTGTGTCCTCTGTCTACAGTGATCCGTGCCAAAGTGGTGGGCAAGAAGTTACTGAAGGATGGGCCTTTTGGAACCATGCGCTACACGGTCAAACAGATGAAGGTAAGCCATCATCGCATCATTCAGCCCGAGTCTTACGTAATCTGGCCCATACCTTGAAGAGAATAACCGCACTCTGGAAAACCCCCTAGAAACATTTTCCAGAAATCCCCCGTTTTAGGTCCCAGTGGCTCGCCTCTTTCACAGTTTGTCCTGTTATTTCCAAGAATAGCCGCGTCTAAACAGGGATTTCCTGTTGTTCCTAGACAAATAAATCACAACGGAATAAACAACAAATCCCAGGGCAAACATTTACTTTGTCCGGCAGCGTTTGTGTTCCGCGCACCTGAACTCAATGGGCGGACCCACGGTTCAACCCCAAAGTCACATCTTCATTATGTCCTGTAATTATGTTAGTTTTCATGTGGTTAATGATAGCATCAGTGGCCTTTTCCTCTACTACACTGAATTCTTGGAAGCGATATCATCTCGTTATACTGTGTTTGTTTATTGTTGTGGATTCCTGACAACTTCGAGAACAACTCAATAATTCCAGTTGCGTCAAAAGCGTCAAAAGCAAGAACAAGTGTCAGAGGTGTGTGATATTCGTTCCAGATTATAATCGGTTTAACACACCGTTTGTCGTGGTCTGTTTTGCAGATGTACAAAGGATTCAACAAAATGCAGATGCAGCACGTTCAGCACATCTACACAGATGCCTCTGAGAGTTTGTGTGGAGTCAAGTTCGACATAAACAAGTACCAGTACCTGATCACAGGTGAGTCACTAGTCTACCATACAGTACCACTGATCTGAAAAGCGGCTATCTAATGTACTTGGCGGGCTGCACAGTTGTCATGGTGGTGCCAGAAACAATATGTCTTTCCATTCAGAGCTATTAATAAGCAATAAAAACAGCCTCAGGAGCTGCCTCAGAAGCACATGACCAAAAACAAATTAGCGAGGCAAGCAAGCACATCAGTGGCGTTGACTCCAGCTTGTTCTCCCAGGCCTGTTTCCCTAACTCCCCCTCTGCAACACTTCCCACCACAATGGCGGCGTTGCTAACGGCAGCCCCAGTTTTAGTTTTGTTTAAATGCAACCCCCTCCTCCCCCTTCCCTCCTCCCTGAAGACTTCTTGACTGCTCTGTGACACAAACTTTCCCACTATTTATAACCTCCTGTCTGTGAGAGACGAAAGAGAGGCAGGGGGGCACTTCTTTTTTGAAGCATTTCCTTCTCAGCAGAAAACGTTTCCCTCCTCGTCTCTTATAATTAACAGTTCTAGCGAGAAGTTCTGGCGTTTCCAGTGCAGGCAGGCAAGTTCAACTTCTATTTATTAGTTGTATGTACAGGATACACATGGCATACACCGTCCAACGAAATGCTTCCTTGCATGCTACACACACATATTTGTGATGTGTGTGTAGTATAAATGTATACGTGTGTGTGGATGAGTGTATGTCAGTGTGGGTGTGTGCGTGAGCGCATGTGTGCTAAGGTGCAGAGTCAGCGCAAGTGGTCAGCCCAATTCAAGTGTTTGGCAGTGATGGCTTGTAGATAGAAACTGTCTCTGAGCCAATGAGTTGCTAAGTCGGAGAGCAGTTTAGTGAGACATAAGGCCGTCATACTTTTTAGCTGTGTGTTGTATGTTCCCACCACTACGTCCCAAACCTGTAAACATGCCCTACGAAGCCAATGAAACATAAGGAAGGAAATCACCCCGGCAACACAAGTGTGTGTTTATTGTGGCTGGGTGATGATGACATCACAGTCATCCAGGCCAGGCCAGGCAACAGCTCTAGCTCTGGTTTGGAAAGTGAGTCTATAATTGGGTCTTGGGTCCCTGGGCCATACTGTATCAGGACTCAATTACAGGCATGTTAAATACGCCAAGGCCTGATAGATCAGCTCCACAGGTTGGGCTTTGATCAACCCAGAGTGAGTGCACGGCCGCCTGATTAGCTATGAAGAGGGGTGCTGCACTAGCCTGGTCCCAGATCTGCTTGTGCTGTCTTACCAACTACTATACCAACTACAAATTAGGAACAGGCTAATGCCGCTCTCACCATTGTCTAATAACTTTGCCAGAGATGCCAATAAGCCATATGGAAGTCGGTCTAAGAGTTGTGTGTTTGTGAGCTTTCAGCTCAGTGTGTGATGACGACAGAACAGTGTAGCACTGTTACAAACAACCATGTTGTTTGAGTGCTAGCTGGCGGGCTACAGTGTAGGGTGAACCTGTTTGCAGCAGAGGTTGTCATCCAGACATCGTTGGTAAGCTGTGAACAACCTAAAAATAGATGTTAGACAACCTTTTGGAAATTCTGAAATAGGGGTGTTGGTTTAATATGGGACCTACTGTACAAGATTATCTTACCATAGTTAAAAAGCTTTGGACCGTTTGCTTGACTGTTGTATTTATGCTAGGCGAGGTATGGCAATTATACAATTAGCCAAAAATATGCTAGGGATGACATCTGACTCTTTGGACATCTGACACTTTCCCATGGCATTGGGAATATGACATGCCATTGTTTTTCAGTCTTCAGTTTTTTGGGGAAACCAACAAACCATTGTAATGAATGTTTTGTAAGTCATGAAATAATTCACGAATTATTACATTTTTTACATTTTAGTCATTTAGCAGACGCTCTTATCCAGAGCGACTTACAGTTAGTGAGTGCATACATATATATATCGAACCCACAACCCTGGCGTTGCAAGCGCCATGCTCTACCAACTGAGCTACACAGGGCCCATATGTAATGCATAACAAAAGCTGATCTGTAACCAAGCCTCTCTCCCCCTTCAGGCCGCGTGTTCGACGGCAAGGTCTACACCGGGCTGTGCAATTTCAACCAGCCATGGGAGCGCCTCTCGCTGGCCCAGAAGAAGGGCATCAACCACCGCTACCAGCTGGGCTGCAACTGCAGGGTGAGTGGCAACAACTGCGCTCCCGGGGAGAATATGGATAAAGTGGATATGGATAAGGAAGCTAAAGCAACCCAACAGCAGCAGAGCCAAGATGGAGGAGTAGGAGCCAGAAAGAGGGGCAGGGGCCGGGGCAGAGGCAAGGGGAAGGGCAAAGGCAGGCAGAACCAGAACACCCTGCTTACTGCAAAGCATACCATCCTGCTCTGAGCATCTCCCATCTCTCTGCTACTTTTTACCACAGAAAAGGGGTTGCTCCTCTTCAAAGACACAAGGCACTTCATATGTTATTAGATATCGGATATTGCCTATAGAATAGGGGGGGGGGGGGGGGAATAATGTGTTCATTTTATGACCATAATGACTTTAGTGGCCTTGCATATATTGGGTCAACTAGATTATGCTGATGAACTGCAACCAATTATGAAATCATTTCCAGACCATTTAGAACTTTTTCCTCTATTTTTAAGTGTAGCACAATAAAAGAACGACAATCAAAATATATACCAAATCATTGTGATTATGTAATTGTAACTTTTATGCTTGTAGGGACATACTTTTAAATTCCTGATAGTGGCTGAATAATATAATGTATAGTTTTAGCTGTCAGGAATATAAGTGTCCCCTTTCCATTTAGGCATCATAACGGATAATATACAGCCATGAATTTAACTGAAGAGACAGAGGGAAAGACGAGGGGGGAGAGAAAATAGAGATTTATAATGATCTTTGGGAGTTATTAAATAATTTAACTACACTGGAATCACTTTCCCTGTTATTCCAAACCCTGAATTCCGCGCTCGGTCGGACCCCCTTTATGCGGGACCTGCTCCCCTGAAGCTCCAGTCCAGGCTCATAAATATCCTACTGTACTGCATGGCTCAAGACACACCATCTGGTCTGCCCATCACCGGCACCATCAACAGCAATAAGTGCATTGCCAGACAGGAGACAGGAGTAGCTACGCAGTCCAAATGCTGGCCAACGCCTTTCAAACTGCTCGCACCCAAACTGCTTATAGGGTTGTAATGTTAAGACACATTAGGCATACAGTGAGTCTTAGAGGCCAACGCAGAACAGTGGAGGTGAATGTATGACTGTGACCAAACATGGCAAGTCAGCATCAGGAATGAAAAACAGACTTGGACAGAACTCGCCATGGTAGTAGCCTTTTTCTTTTAGTTTATTGCCCATTTCAGCTCAAATGTATGCTTTAATCTGAAAAAATTTCACACACACAAATGTGTTTGCAGCAATAGGCTGCTGCTACACAACACCGTATTGTGTGAACCCCTATGGAGCAGCATGCTTACTGTCTGAGAAGACAAGTCAACAGACAGAGGCAGTGAAGACACAAAAAAAAACATTGGCATCAGTAAATTATTAAAAAGCTAACTGTCCATTACATAGCACCATGAACACCAGAACAAGTTAAACTTAGTTGAAAATGCTTGCACCATATGGACCATAAAGAATTCCTCAAGCTCTCTGCTGTTGATTCCTCTGGCTCTGTCATTACTGTACACACAGCTTTTACTGAAACACCTCTTTGGATTTCTCTAAAACACAGAGTATTTGTCAGTTAGTTTCTCAGTTTCTAATTTCTCACCTTTAAAAATACATTTGGCAAGCTATACAGTGCATTCAGAAAGTATTCAGACCCCTTGACTTTTTCCACATTTTGTTACGTTACAGCCTTATTCTAAAATTGATTACATAGTTTTTTCCTCTCATCAATCTACACACAATACCCCATAATGACAAAGAAAAAACAGGTTTTTAGACATTTTTGCAAATGTATTAAAAACAAAAAACTGAAATATTACATTTACATAAGTATTTAGACCCTTTACTAAGTACTTTGTTGAAGCACCTTTTGACTAGTCTCCCAGTCCCTGCCGCTGAAAAACATCCCAACAGCATGATGCTGCCACCAACAAGCACCAGTGACTTGGTTAATAAGGAAGTGGTCAGATGACGCAGATGCTAAGCTACAAGACTGTTTAGCTAGCACAGACTGGAATATGTTCCGGGATTCTTCCGATAGCATTGAGGAGTACACCACATCAGTTACTGGCTTCATCAATAAGTGCATCGATGACGTCTTCCCCACAGTGACTGTACGTACATACCCCAACCAGAAGCCATGGATTACAGGCAACATCCGCACTGAGCTAAAGGGTAGAGCTGCCTCTTTCAAGGAGCGGGACTCTAACCCGGACGCTTATAAGAAATCCCGCTATGCCCTCCGACGAACCATCAAACAGGCAAAGAGTCAATACAGGACTAAGATTGTATCGTACTACACCTGCTCTGATGCTCGTTGGATGTGTAGCAGGGCTCGAAAACGATTACAGACTACAAAGGGAAGCACAGCCGCGAGCTGCCCAGTGAGACAAGCCTACCAGACGAGCTAAATCACTTCTATGCTCGCTTCGAGGCAAGCAACACTGAAGCATGCATGAGAGCATCAGCTGTTCCGGATGACTATGTGATCACGCTCTCCGTAGCCGAAGTGAATAAGACTTTTAAGCAGGTCAACAATCACAAGGCCGCAGGGCCAGACGGAATACCAGGACGTGTACGCCGAGCATGCGGTGACCAACTGGCAAGTGTCTTCACTAACATTTTCAACATGTCCCTGACTGAGTCTGTAATACCAACATGTTTCAAGCAGACCACCATAGTCCCTGTGCCTAAGAACACTAAGATACCCTGCCTAAATGACTACCGACCCGTAGCACTCACGTCTGTAGCCATGAAGTGCTTTGAAAGGCTGGTCATGGCTCACAACACCATTATCCCACTCCAATTTGCATACCGCCCCAACAGATCCACAGATGATGCAATCTCTATTGCACTCCACACTGCCCTTTCCCACCTGGACAAGAGGAACACCTACGTGAGAATGCTATTCATTGACTACAGCTCAGCGTTCAACACCATAGTGCCCTCAAAGCGCATCACTAAGCTAAGGACCCTGGGACTAAACACCTCCCTCTGGATCCTGGACTTCCTGACAGGCCGCCCCCAGGTGGTAAGGGTAGGTAACAACACATCTGCCATGCTGATCCTCAACATGGGGGCCCCTCAGGGGTGCGTGCTCAGTCCCATCCTGTACTCCCTGTTCGCCCATGACTGCATCCTGTACTCCCTGTTCACCCAGGCATGACTCCAACACCATCATTAAGTTTGCAGATGACACAACAGTGGTAGGCCTGATCACCGACAACGATGAGAAGCCTATAGGGAGAAGGTCAGAGACCTGGCCGTGTGGTGCCAGGATAACAACCTCTCCCTCAACGTGATCAAGACATAGGAGATGATTGTGGACTACAGGGAAAAAAAAGAGGACTGAGCACGCCCCCATTCTCATCGACGGGGCTGTAGTGGAACAGGTTGAGAGCTTCAAGTTCCTTGGTGTCCACATCACCAACAAACTATCATGGTCCAAACACACCAAGACAGTCGTGAAGTGGGCACGACAAAGCCTATTCCCCCTCAGGAGATTGAAAAGATTTGGCATGGGTCTTCAGATCCTCAAAAAGTTCTACAGCTGCACCAAAGAGTATCCTGACTGGTTGCATCACCGCCTGGTATGGCAACTGCTCGGCCTCCGACCGCAAGGCACTACAGAGGGTAGTGCGTACGGCCCAGTACATCACTGGGTCCAAGCTTCCTGCCATTCAGGACCTCTATACCAGGCGGTGTCAGAGGAAGGCCCTAAAAATTGTCAAAGACTCCAGCCACCCTAGTCATAGACTGTTCTCTCTGCTACCGCATGGCAAGCGGTACCGGAGCGCCAAGTCTAGGTCCAAAAGGCTTCTTAACAGCTTCTACCCCCAAGTCATAAGACTCCTGAACAGCTAATCATGGCTACCCAGACTATTTGCATTGCCCCCCCCCCACCCCAACCCCCTCTTTTACGATGGTGCTACTCTGTTTATTATTTATGCATATTCACTTTAACTCTACCCACGTACATATTACCTCAATTACCTCGAATAACCGGTGCCCCCGCACATTGACTCTGTACCGGTACCTCCTGAATATAGCCTCCCTACTGTCATTTGATTTTACTGCTGCTCTTTAATTATTTGCTATTTTTTACTTACCTATTTTTTACTTAACACTTTTCATATTCTTAAAAAACTGCATTGTTGGTTAAGGGCTTGTAAGTAAGCATTTCACTGTAAGGTCTACACCGGTTGTATTCGGCGCATGTGGCAAATAGAATGATTTGATTTGATTTGACCATGGTTCACCGTAGGGATGGTGCCAGGTTTCCTCCAGACATGACGCTTGGCATTCAGGCCAAAGAGTTAAAATCTTGGTTTCATCAGACCAGAGAATCTTGTTTCTTGCCTTTTGGCAAACTCCAAGCGGGCTGTCATGTGCTTTTAACTGAGGAGTGGCTTCCATCTGGCCACTCTACCACAAAGGTCTGATTGGTGGAGTGCTGCAAAGATGGCTGTCCTTCTGGAAGGTTCTCCCATCTCCACAGAGGAACTCTGGAGCTCTGTCAGAATGACCATTGGGTTCTTGGTCACCTCCCTGACCAAGGCCCTTCTCCCCCGATTGCTAAGTTTGGCCTGTTTTCGCTTTGTCAATATGGGGTATTGTGTGTAGATTGATGAGGATTTTTATTTATTTAATCAATTTTAGACTACGGCTGTAACGTAACAAAATGTGGAAAAAGTCGAGGGGTCTGAATACTTTCCGAAGGCACTGTATGTGAGAAGGAAATGAGAAGTTTAAAGGATGTTGACGCCATTGCAGTTCAATACAGATTTCTGTGCCTTTGGCTTTCTTCTCTATTCCCTATGGGAAAACTACAAACTAGGTAGTGGACTTTCATTTCAGAGGCTAGCAATTAGATTCATCTTTGAACTCCACTGGCTTATCTACAGGAAAGTACATTTGAATTGAAACCATTCATTCATTCATCCTGTAGAGCAATGAGTATAAAATGCATTAACGAGTTTCTAAATTGTAAATGTAATGAATTACATAAACTACAAAAAGAACTTGACTCACTCACCCTTTGCTGATTCAACCCAATTATCTGGAGGGATTTAGATTTAAATCACTTCCCTTTTCTCCTATTCAACATCTTATTCACCACAAATTAAGTATTTTGTACAAGATTATGCATTGCTTCAGCCTGTCCTGAAATGCTAATTCTGTCTTGGCCTTGTTCATTTACTGCTGGATGTAGACTCACTGTGTTTTGAATTGGTCAATATTCAAAAACAATTCACAGAAAATGAAATTCGTATATCTGTCACATATCCTAAATCAGAATTCTTGTTAATCAAAAAGGATACAATTGAACTTTATTCAAGTCGAACTGTAAACACACAGTGAGCCTTCACCAGTATGCTGTAGCATTATTACATTTTATTTTCCTGCTTTACGTCTACATCTGTAGTTTCGCTTCTTCTCTCTGTAGATTAAGCCCTGCCACAACCTGCCCTGCTTTGTGACCTCAAAGAACGAGTGCCTGTGGACGGACATGCTGTCCCACTTTGGCTACCCCGGCTACCAGTCACGGCACTACGCCTGTATCCAGCAGAAAGAGGGCTACTGCAGCTGGTACCGGGGGATGGCCGGCCGTGACAAAACCACCATCAACTCCACCGACCCCTGAGCGTAAACTACAACCAACCCCCAAACCATCGCAACTTTCTTGAGTTTCTTCTCCTCGTCCTCTCACTCTTCTACACCTTTCCCAAACTCCACAACGCCACCACGCCCCTCGTCAACAATAGAGTATTACAGAACTCTTCAAACGTACAGTACTGGCCCCAAGCGACCACTCCCACGCCCTCTGACGAAATATACAATAGTAGCACTTCTGATGTAAACAATACCTTTTTTGTTTCATGCTGTATATTTCAGTTTCTCCCACCTTCCTTTTCCTACATTTCCCTAGCTATCAACGAGCAAAAATTAGACCCGATCCCAGAGTCAACTTTCTTCAGAATGCAATAACAATGGCCCTCTAAAAAACGAGACCTTTTCAAACTATCGTAAGGCTTATATGGGTGTGATGGCTTTTCAGAACTGAAGTTTCAAGCAATACATAATGGTTGAAAATTACCCTAATTTTAAGTGTGGGGTGCAGACAGTATCAACAAAGCTCCTGCAGCATAATGTTATCCTCAACACAAGTTATGCACAGTAACCAGACACATTGTCACCAGTACGAGGGCAATGCCAACACGAGGTATGACCTCTGAAAAGCAATACCCCTTGCTCCAGTCACACAAAGGTATTTTATTGGTATTTAACAATGATTTTGAATCACATGAAAGTGTATATGTATATGTTCACAGTTTATACTGTTAACATGTCTATTTATATGAATGATGCAATCTTTGCCTCCCTGACTGCTTACACTGTAAAGTTCATTCTTGGTTGTATTAAATAGCATATACATTTTAGTCATTTAGCAGATCACACTATATGAATGCATTGCTAATATCGGACAATGAATTGATTGAGTATAGCTATATTTTCTCCGTAACCACGACTAAGAATGACCCTTACAGCTCAAGCACAGGGAATTCTTAATCTTTCGCAGAGAAATTGATGCAAGTTTATTTAATTTTTTTTGCTGTATATGATATAAGCTACAAAACAATGAACAGTTGACTCGACTGAAACCTCTGTAGTACATTTATTTATCCGTGTTTGTCGAATCAAACAATATCCATGCAAATACTACAAACAAAATAAACTATCCTACTACAATAGCCAAATATATATCTATGTATCTGGCCAAAACTGTATTACCATTACTACCCTGTTTGGCTGTCATGAAGGACCAGAATCCCAAATTGTGTTTGTAAAGCATTGATTTAAATGTTAGTTCTGTGTTAGGTCCGCCTTCAGCAGTGCCCAATCACAGTTCCCCTTTTGGTTCTCTCGAGGGAAGTAACTTTTTTCACTGCATCAGAGTTTAAAGCAGAGGTTTCAGACAAAAAAGTGTTTTCATAAATGTATATTACATTTTTAAAGTATTTAACTATTTCAGATGAAACTGATGAAAATAACACTATTGTCACTAAACTCTTCTACTTTTGTTGAGTTTTCCAGTTCAGTATCTTCAGTCCATTCCGTTAGAAACAGAGATGCCTCAGCAGGAGTGAGAAGTCTTTGCCCAGTCTCTCAGCTCTGCCTACTTTTCCATTATGTTCAGAAAAGGCCATGCCAAGTTGGTGTTGAACAGAATAGAGTAACAGCCCTGACGTGACAGTTTTAGAAAGAAATCCACAAAAATATAGTTATTTAGTCAATTTGTTATTCATGTAATTCTTACATGAAATGCAATTATTTCAGCCACTATATTTATAGAAATAACAAACATGTCAGCGTTCTTTATATCATTCAACAATGTAGAACAGAAAATGATAAAACATCAAACAATGCCGAATTCGACATTTGCGGCCATTTCAAAAGGAGAGAAGGTAGAGGAAGTGCATCAGTCTCATCGTGTTTCCCCACTGCTGAGCTTCTGTTGACACTGAGCTTGAAACACAATCCATAGGCAGATCCTCAGTAGCTCCTCAGTAGTCTGAGAGGACCACTACGCCACAGAGATATCACTAAAGCCTGAACGTTCCACATCAGCAACACTGTTCTTGTTCTCCACGGGCAGTTAGAAGTAGAGCTGGTTTAGCGTTGAGAGAATGGTGGGCTCAGTGAGTGTAGCCTGATGGTCCAGGAAGCCAGATAGTATGTAGTCTTCATGTAGATCCATCCTTTAGTAAGAATACTGGGAAGGTTCCTCTGTATGTTTAGCGTTCATTGACACACTACTCTGGTTGTCAGTCTTGAGTTGTTTCCCTCTACCAAATCTCCCTCACCTGGTTTCGCAAGGTTCTCTCTCTACGGCCTTGGCATCTCTGTATCTGTATTTTTTTGTGGTTCATGTTTGTGTAAATATACTGTCTGCTTAACACAGAAACACTTGGTCATGTCGATCCAGAGTGCATTAAAAAGGAAGCTGGCAAAAGGCTGTGTACCATGTGTGTGTATACACTGATTCCTAAAAAGGGGGGTGAGCGAACGTTTCCTTGTAGGGGTTACAGAAATGTTTGACTAAATTTCTGTGTTTTATATTTTTATAATAAAGATTTAATGAAAAATGGACCATATGAGTTTGCATGGATTCTTGTGCTGTTGTTTTCTTGAAGTGAAAGTAGCACACCAGGTCATGATTCAAGCTCAGTATTTTATCACGGTCACAAGGCAAATTTGGACCTGACCTTTATAGCAATATCTTTGTGATATCATAAAACAATCTGTCTAGTCAGGAGCTACAATACGTAATGGAATTAGATAAAATTGTTCCAACTTGCACATTCAACTTTGCACTTTGCTTTATAAATACCATAACAATTGTTGATAACATGGTAGCAAGCTCCAACAAGGCTCTCACTAAGACACTAATCAATCCCACCCATTTGGCATTGGCCTAGAAAATATGTATAAATCCCAGTTGCTACACTTGATAGTTTGGAGCAAGCTTAAGCCTACTTACCTGGCACTGTCTATTTAAGATCCATGGGCTTTAGTGGTGTGATGCCCATAGTGTTGCACTGAGACATAACAATTATTTTGTTATGACTACTTTGAGAACAACATTCTTTAAGTGGTCTGTGTTTTGCTGCCTGAAGTACCATAACCTCAACTGACGGGGATTGGAAACTACAACCAGAGAATATGAAGTTGGGCATGATGCAAACAATAGGAGCTGCACTCTGGCTGAGACATTTTACTAATCAGCTTGAAGGTTTACACGTAAGGCCACAGGAAATATTTTGCCTCACCCCCTTACTTTCTCACTGTTTCCCGCTTTTCCTACCCCAAATTAGACAAGTGTCACAAGGGCAATATCAAGATTCTCTGAAAACATACAGTGTTCATTCATTCCCTGAGTGCTATGTCTATATGAAGATGGTAACGCATTAAAGAGGAACACACGTTATAAACAAACAGTGTGTCAGGAAGGCGCTCACCATCTGTGTGTGGTTGGGGTAGAAGGTCTGTTCGTTCAGTGGGAACTTCTCTGGGCCCAGGGAATGGTAGAGCTTAATCATGTGGGAAAACTGCAAGCAGAAACAAAACACGAGACACCATTCTATAGTAGTTATATAGAACGCAGGGTAGAAAGTGTCTTATACTACATCTGTAGTTATCTGGAATTTATAGCACCAAAGAAAACACAATCAGTGGATGTTTGCACTGCTTTCAGTCCTAGATAATAAAAAACAGACACCTTGAAAGCTGAATGCAGCCCTATCCATTAAAAAGGTTTTTAGGTAGAAACTTTGACCTGGAAAACATCCAGCAATTGTGAGAATTCTATCTTCAAGGTAAGTTCCGGAATGTTTTGTCTACTACCACCAACATGTTTTGTCTGGGTTCTAAAGGTTGTAGCCATAGTACAAATGTAACTTGGCCCGGTACAGCTCCAGTGCACTTTGCCTAGCCACCCCTGTGCTGTTAAAACAGGGTGAATAATAACTGGTCTTACTGGAGTCCTGGTTTGACTGTTTCAGAGACAGGTGTTATGGCTCCTTTTAATAGCCCAAATAAATCAGCCAGCGGCGGCCGCTAAGGGCCTCTTTATGTGGGGTAAGATGGAGGGGGTGATGGAGGGAGGAAAGGAGGTAAGGAGGCAAGTTATGGATCACGCACCACCCAGGGTTTGCTGCAGAAGTTGTAGATGGAGAGCAGGGAGTTGATGCTGGCGACTCCCCCGTACTGAAGGCCAATCACCAGGCTCCTGAAGTCTTCGCCCGGAGTCATGCTGTAGGCATGTTGGCGAATCAGGACAAAGTCTGGCTTGAAGGATCTGGAGAAAGACAAAACAAAGTGGGTCATGAGATAACGGACACTAACAACATTCTTCTTTCCTGATGTCAAGGTAAAGTAAAAGTAAGGGCACATTCTACCATCCTGACTTTCACATGATCTGCTTAGCCGATGAACAAAACATGGATACAAACGGGAAGAATGCATCAATGTCAGCTAACATCTGTCCCACTGGGCACACACTGGTTGAATCAACATTGTTTCCACGTCATTTCAATGAAATTACGTTGAACCTACGTGGAATAGATGTTAAATTGACGTCTGTGCCCTGTGGCTTGTGCCTCATGGACTGCTGATGACACTGCATTACACTGTGAAGCCAGCCGACCTGTTGTCAGTAGGGCATTTTAGAGACCTGGATAATTGTTTTACGAATTTAGCTTTAGCATATACAGTAAATTACAAAGATTGGTGCATACACACTGTATTTCATTGCTGACTTGGTCACTCAAGTTCCAGACCTCAAGCAGACAGTAGCCATCGTAGAGCCTTTCCAAAAACAGGGTGAATAATAACTGTAGGTAACAACACATCTGCCACACTGATCCTCAACACGGGGGCCCCTCAGGGGTGCGTGCTCAGTCCCCTCCTGTACTCCCTGTTCACCCATGACTGCATGGCCAGGCACGACTCCAACACCATCATTAAGTTTGCCGACGACACAACAGTGGTAGGCCTGATCACCGACAACGATGAGACAGCCTATAGGGAGGAGGTCAGAGACCTGGCCGTGTGGTGCCAGGACAACAACCTCTCCCTCAACGTGACCAAGACAAAGGAGATGATTGTGGACTACAGGAAAAAAAAATTCTCATCGACGGGGCTGTAGTGGAACAGGTTGAGAGCTTCAAGTTCCTTGGTGTCCACATCACCAACGAACTATCATGGTCCAAACACACCAAGACAGTTGTGAAGAGGGCACGACAAAGCCTATTCCCCCTCAGGAGACTGAAAAGATTTGGCATGGGTCCTCAGATCCTCAAAAAATTCTACAGCTGCACCATCGAGAGCATCCTGACTGGTTGCATCACCGCCTGGTATGGCAACTGCTTGGCCTCCGACCGCAAGGCACTACAGAGGGTAGTGCGTACGGCCCAGTACATCACTGGGGCCAAGCTTCCTGCCATCCAGGACCTCTATACCAGGCGGTGTCAGAGGAAGGCCCTCAAAATTGTCAAAGACTCCAGCCACCCTAGTCATAGACTGTTCTCTCTGCTACCGCACGGCAAGCGGTACCGGAGTGCCAAGTCTAGGTCCAAAAGACTTCTCAACAGCTTCTACCCCCAAGCCATAAGACTCCTGAACAGCTAAACATGGCTACCCGGACTATTTGCACTGCCCCCCCACCCCATCCTTTTACGCTACTCTGTTAATTATTTATGCATAGTCACTTTAACTCTACCCACATGTACATATTACTTCAACTACCTCAACTAGCCGGTGCCCCCGCACATTGACTCTGCACCGGTACCCCCCGTATATATAGCCTCCCTACTGTTATTTTATTTTACTTCTGCTCTTTTTTTCTCAACACTTTTTTTGTTGTTGTTTTATTTATTTATTTTGTTAAAAAGAAATGCACTGTTGGTTAAGGGCTGTAAGTAAGCATTTCACTGTAATGTCTGCACCTGTTGTATTCGGCGCATGTGGCCAATAAAATTTGATTTGATTTGATTTGAAGTCCAACACAGTAGCTGCAACTGCTCAGAGCCCAGACCGATAGTATCTGTCACCGGTATAACACGTTAAGATTACAGGCAGCTCACTATTTACAAGGAGAAAAAAAGGTCCATTATTCAAAGGCCGTAGGAGGAGGGCGAACAAAGGAATGCTGGTCAGAGTCAGAGAAGCTAATCTTTTTGGACCATCTATCCAATTAACGCAGCCTAATCCCTCTCATTACAAACTGTTCTAGGAACAGGGCCAAGTAACCCATCAGGGACCCGGGAGGATTGTATCACATCTGGCTATGATTAAGATAAAGAGGGAGAAAATTCCACTCTTTAACCGAAGGCAGGTATGCAGGGATATGTTTATTTTTTTTGAAAGGTTAATTCAGCTTAGATTCAGGTAGGTTGGCTATCTTGGATGGATCTGTGTTGGCTGGGCTGAGGGATGTAAATTAAGTTCTCTTTCAGATGGCTGTCAACTGTTCTGAATGCTTGATTATTGTAATTTACAGTTTGGTGAATGGTACCATTTTGATGCATTCGTCTAAATTCATTGCTATGAGCTGTTGAAAGTTATTTCCAATGGACTTTTGCCGTTTTCAATGAATCAATCTGGCAAAGGTACTAGGTTGAGTTTAGTATATTGGTATATTTACATTTTTGTCATTTAGCAGACGCTCTGGATTTACAGGAATGAGTGCATACATTTTCGTACTGGTCCCCCGTGGGAATCGAACCCACAACCCTGTCGTTGCAAGCGCCATGCTCTACCAACTGAGCCACACGGGCTATAACCATATTGTCTCCAATACTATCACTCACCCTCTCTCTCTCACCCTCTCTCTCTCACACACACACACACACACACACACACACACCTCAGCTTGTGGACTGAGACAGTAGCCAGACTCACACTCTCTCGCACACACACGCACACACACACTTGGAGCCATGGAAGTGTTTCTTATGTAAGACAGCCGACCTGAGGCACAACTCAGGACTCAGCGGATTAGTGAGAGCTGTCGTGGTCACGGCGACGCGAAGACTACAGCTGCTCTCTTTCAAATGTTGTTGTGCTCACTGCTCAGCCAAGGTGGCACTGGACCAAGGGCTCACTGTACACTGCTCAGCCACAGTAGTGGCACTGGACCAAGGGCCAATCTATTTCTGCATCTGTTTATTGAGGGACAGACTGATACAAACCTTGCTCATACCACGTCGAAGTGCCCACATCACATGCACTGGTACCTGACGCACCAGGTTTATTTTTTTTATATAACTTCACTTTGAAGTATACAAGAACTATAAAGCGTTAATAGCGGCTTATGTGAGCAGCCAAAGGCGTATGCTGCATGCACCTATCTGTACAACCTATTTACTGCTCATCATTAGCATAGAAGTGCAAGTTGTGATGATGTTTTTAGCCAGGCTACAGCTAATAGCAGCCTTGCCCTATAAAGCTACAGCATTACCACGCTTATTCCAGCCATTAACTTTGTTATCAGTCTCCTAAATCGGAGTCCTTCTGCCCAAGTGATGCTCCCTGTGGGTTGTGGATCACATCAAAGCTGTGTATTAAATGTATTTTGTGCTTTACGATCCCAATCGCTCAGGCCCAATGGTGATCGCTTCACAGCCAATATGCTAATGCACCCTTTAAATTGTTCATCAGTGTTGCAATAAAGGGATGTTTAATGGGGACGGAGATGATGATGCCGAGATGTGAGGTAGGGATGTCCTGTATTTATGTGGAATTGAAGGTTCTGCTTTGTAATAGCCAAATGGAATTGGCTCCTTAGGGAGAGAGGGTGAGCAGAGTGGGAGCTATAAACACAACAGATAATGCCTACACACAACCCTGCACATTAGTCCACGCCATAGTCACTACTACTTGGCGTCTTGCTGGTGCATGTTCGGAGTGTGTTAGAGTTCAGTTGGCTTTGATGATAACCATGGCAACTGCTTTAAATTGCAGCAAACTGTGGGACAGGATTTATTGGAACATTTGCATTAATGAACTTGGCTTTACCCCTTACTTCCGTAATTGGGTTTTCAGTGTAGATGCCGTTTCTATATT